TAGGTAGATTTTAGTGGCTGGCGAAAATTTGACATTATKTATGTGGCGCAAGCAGTTATGTGGCATGAGTTGACATTAGYGTTGGCGTTGATCTATGGGCGAAAGTATGCAAAGGTGCAGAAGATGCGTTGTTGGTGTTAATGTGTGTGCATTTATCGCTGCGATTTGCTGAAGGCCTGGTGTAAAAAATGTTTAAAGCGGAAAATACCGACATTTTAATAGTCAAGGACATTAATTTCAGAGTTAGGAAAAAGTAAAAATAATCTAAAGGTGGTTATAGYACGAATAATGAAAGGCTGAATAGTAATAACAGCCATATAGTTAATAGTGCAGCATTACATTTTTGTTTAACTAAGAACTGCTGTTTACTGCAAAATATGTGACCTGAATTCAGCTGAATAAATGTGTGGCTGAATAGTGTTGAATTATATTTGTGTTTTATGAAGAACAGCTGTTTGCTGTAAAAGATGTGAGCTAAGTTTAGCCGATTTTATTTTATAGTACGAATAATGAATGGCTAAATGGTGGCGAATTATACTTTTATTTTACTAAGAATAGCGTCTGCTGTAAAATATATAAGCTGAATTCAGCTGAATAAATGCTGAATGGCTGAATAGTGTTAAATTATATTTTTATTTAATGAAGAATAGCTAGCTGAATTTAGCTGAATACGGTTTTTTAACATATTTTGAAAAGTCCACTATATTCCGTTAGGGAAAAGGTTGTAAATGTTGATTATAAGCTCTGAATACAGATTTCGAATAAAAATTATCACAATGCCAATTTTTATGGTTTTAAAAACAAAACATAAACTTTCAATAGATAAATTTACTTTTTATATTTATTGTGCTTTTAAATAAATTCTTCAACAAGTTGGCGCCAGCCAGCGAGTAATCGTTTATGAAACATAGCTACAATTTATTAGTTTACATGCATTTCTACTTAACAAAACCCACAGCGCAACAACAAATATGCGACTTTCTGTGTACTGTAGTGTGTTGTAATTGGTTTTGTTTTTGTAGCCCTTGCGCGCATGCTAATTAATAAAATAACACGTAAGCGTACAGTTACAACAACAATTCTATTGACTTATGAACTTAGTATGCTGAGTGCGTGTGCTGGATGTACTCACGGTGATTGCTAACAAATTGGGAATAGAGAAGCAAAGAATAAGTGCTGAGAAAACTCGAAAATTATAAACAATTACAGACTGGCTGACTTCGAAAGTGGCAAAATACACTGCGAGAAGCAGTCGCAACACAATTGAGATGGAAGCTAATAGATCAAATATATTTAGAACAAGAGCAGAAACCCTGAACTTTCTTCAATTCATATCTACAGCGTTAGCTCAAGTGWGGAAGATTTACTTCGGCTTAATCAGCTGTTTTCGCGCAGTGTACTTATTGCAATTGTTTGCTGTAACCGCAAAGCATGACAGAGACGATTTCGTCACTCACTTCATTTACTTTCGAAGTGTTTTGCGGTGCGGCGCGCAGAGGGCGGGGCAGTTGTTCGATTCGATTATGAAGCATTTGAAAACTGTTACAAACCCGACAGCTGCCGCTAAACAGTCAAAATGAAAAACGTACACAATAATCACAATAATGGGTAAGCAAAGGGTTAAATAAGTGTTGCAAGGCGCTTTATAATAAATTGTCAACAGCGTGAGTGTATGGCATACTAATGTAGGCCTTGATTAGATCGGCTAATTGCCTTGGCGCATGGTTATCTTCGTTTTGAATTATTATTTTTTCGAAGTGTTGCTTATTTCCACATGTTTTCATAGCGTCTGCTTAAGTTCTAAAAATAACACATTACTTWGCTTTGTTTTGTTTTCGTAAGTATTAACTTCGGCTCTTGTAGTTTTTGCTCAGAACTTGACTTTTTGAAACCGCAAGACTCACACTCAAGCGCAATAAATTAACGTTTTAAACAAATTAAGCGAAAATATTTTGCATGTATTATTTTTAAGCCTCATTGCTTTAGTTAATACTTCTATACGCTGAGCCCAAAACTCGTTTCTTTCAGGGTATTTTTAGTTGTTTTACTGCTCTGTTATAAAATAGTTATTAAATACTAACAAAAACTGGTTTTGACGAACTTCAAACGAATTGTCTGTAATTTAAACGAATTTTTCAAATCTTTACAGGTTTTTTGTGCAGAAATCTAAATTACAATCTATTTTATATAACACTGAGTGGATATCGAAAGATATTTTTTATTATATTGAGGAAAAGACGTTTCAAAAAACCTAATTTTTGGTATCGAGAAGCCGTTCTTTATATTGGGATTATATTACCTTAAGTTTTATTGGCCGTCTATCACGCCWTACATAGACCTACTGGTCCTTATTGATGCCAGATTGATGTTCAGTTTAGTTTGAGGTGAAGTGCCGTCTTGTCTTTAACGTTTTTTGCGAACTTGAAGAGCGACTTGATATCCACGTTTGATATTTTGTCCAGTCTTTCGAACCACGCAGCTCTTAGATACTTCACACGAGTTCTAGATAGTGTTWAACAAAGTCRTAGGAAGTGTTCCAGCGTCTCTCTCWTGTCAAATTTCTTTCTGCATCTAACGTTATCACTTATGCTCATTCGGTTTGCATRTRATGCCKGARGCCAACAGGCGTRCGGCAGTCCTTTTGAYACCGTGTGAGTAASAAGCAAGCGAGTTTCCCWAAGGAGCTCTTTTACATGATCTTAGCGATCCTGCATCCAGGAGGATATAGCTACGAGGATTTTCGCCGACCTTACTAAAATTTCATGAATCTATATATTCAACAAAGCTCAATAACAATAAGCGATTTGATCAGTTGTTCGTAATAATGTTTCAACAAAGCTTAAAATACCGCATTTATTAAAAAGAACATAACTGCTGGTAATCTAGACAAATCAATAGAGTTGATATTCAGGGCTTCAGTAAATATTTCCAAAAATTTCATGCCTAATGCCAGATTACTTGTACTATAAATACCGTAAAATCATCGAAGATTGTGTTTGACCTCAGACATTTGCCCGCATTTTTAACTCCATGCTGATAGTGCTTGGTTTACAGCTTATCTCTGAAGTATATAGCGACCTTTGTATGCCACATTATTACAAGCAATGACAAATGACTATACTCTCCTTGCAAACGGTTCTAGTAGAACTAAATCGAAAACATATTTCAATTAAATTTTAATTTTTCCAATACAACGCTGATATGACGCAAGAGGCAAACAGAAGATTTGACGAACTCGAGGTGTTATAGATAAACTTTAACATCAGTGTATTAATTATCAGGTGTGAAAAAGTTGAAAAAATTAAAAAAAAAGTGTGAATATGTTGAAATGAAGCCTTTCCTCAATAGTTTCCGTTCAAAAAAGTCTCTGAAAACCGCTGACAATTGTCAAATTGTCAACCTGTCAAGTGAGAACTGTCAATACGCGTGGCGGCGCGCTGATTGACAACGCTGACAATTTCGTTGTAAATGTGAGCACTTCTTCACTTCACACCATGCTGCGCTCATTTATATTATTTTGTCTCATTTTTTATTTATTTTTTCTCGCGTTGCAAATGAGTTGTGAGCTTCGTGTGCTGCTATCTTATCGCTTTGACACATATTTCCTTCTGCCACACTCAACAAGCATATTTATTTCCGTTTAATTTTTTGTGGCATTTTTAATGAGCTGACACCACTGTGCGTGCACAGCTTCAAACGTGCACCGATTTAAGTGTGACGTGYCGTGTTTGCTTGTGTGACAGCACAGCGGGTGGAGGGAATTACAAATGTATTTGATATGTATTTATAGACACTTGAGTTTATGCGCTGCTATTATTATTATTGTTTTTGTTTTGGTGGTTTAACAAGCACTGAATGAAATCAAAATTATTCTCGGAGGTGTTGTCAAATTCCTTTCGTGCGCTACACACTCTGTTTGTTGTTGTATGTTTGTATTGCCTCATCTTGATTTTTGTTTTTTTTTTTGTTTTTGTTTTCGATGATGTTTCTCAAATTGTTGACATAAAAGACAATAAATGTGAGTGTCTGTTTGGGGTTAGAAGTTGACGCTGATGATGACGACATGCTTGATAATAGTATACGAAATTGTTGCTGATTTCTGAGTTAAAAAGTTTTGTATTGGATTTTTCAAAATGAGTTGCGCGACTCAACAATTTAAAGTTAGAGGAAAGGTGTTTGAGGTGCTTTATAGCTTTGACATGAATTTACATGGACCTATATGTGTTTCTATATATTTACCTATGTAGGTCTTTCATAAAATGATTCATTAAATGGGTCTGTGATTGAGCTTTATCTTCGTTGCAAGAAGAAGTTGAGATTTTAATCAAGAAAATAATATCTTCGGGAGAAATCTATAAAATGCTTAGAGAAGCAGGTCTCCAAATTTCTTGTTATTCAACATTCACTCGATTTAGTCTCTATGCCACACCGGAATGATGGGTTCACTCGTAACCGTCATATCTTTAAATCAGCTGACGAHATGCATTATAGAGTACATACTGCAATTTCCGTATAACCTTCTGGTTTTGATAAATTTGACATTTGAAAAACATTATATCGTCACCTAAAATCCAAAACAACGCATCATAAAAAAGAAAAAAAATCGTTATTAGATGTAATAACCAATATATAACCATTTTATAACGAAAACTCTATTATTTTCAAAAGCGCGTACCAACATATYGGATAGTAAGTTTTGAATAGCTGTAACTTTTTTCCAATTTCACCGAATTTTTTGGTTAAATGAAGCTTAAATCTCACCTTTTTAACACTACATGGTGTGACACAATGTGATTGGTAACACTGGAGATATACGACTGCATCGACACCTTTGGACAAAATTCGAAAAAAAAAATACGAAAATACTTTTTCGACTACCCAATATTATACCTTGCCTGCTGTAGGTATGCATTATAGAGTATATACTGGAATTTGCGTATAACCTTATAATTCTGACACATTTGACTTTTGAAAAAAATAATTGTAATTTTCAAGCTTACAGTTAGGAGACCTACAATCCAACCCAAGTCAAAAGTTTGAAAATCAGCAATAAAACGCGAGCTTGTCAAAGTAATTGCCGCTGCTACAGTAACAACTAAAACGACAGCGAGCAAAGAGCGGAGTGTAAATAGTATAAAAATTATTTACAAAAAACAGCGAGGTGCTTGTAGTTACATAGGCACATAGGCGCTTACAAGACCACTCATGTGTTTGTGTGTATGGTTCTTGTTGACTTTAAGCGCAAGCTTATCGGTTAACTGTCGAGTTGAAATGTATAACAATCCTGCAACTAAACTAACAACAAATACGCGCAACAGCAATAAATACTCAGCACTTTGAACGTTTTATAAACACATAAATGTCTGCAAGTATATTTTATATGTATGTATAGGCCCATGTATATGTGTGTGTGTGTGAAGAAATACTCATTTTAGTATGYGCTTGGGAGTTGAGGTTGGCGCTGCGGTTGACTTTTGCAACTGTTTTTTCTGCCTATAGTTTTAGCCGAGGTGTACTCTAATAGGCATTWAGTGTTGTGTTTATAATTTTTGTCGACAGCATCGCGTAAACTGAGCTTTGCGCGAACGATTGTCGACGTTGTGAAACTGGTTTATAGTTTGTTTGAAATCCCTGGCGAGAGCGCTGACAGCGTCACCATTGCCTYGGCTGAGCCAATAATTCTCAGCTCAGCTGTTTGGTCTAAGTTTTTGCTTCCTACTTGGCTTGCCTGTTTATAAATCAGAAAGCATTATTAATTAACGTATCATATTTACATTGCTCAACACACACCGCTCCCCAAACACACACACACATATGCATGTACGTACAGCCTTACCAACATAGCTGCTTGCGCATATTTGTTTACCGCTTGGTTTTGTTGCTTGGCGCTCAGCGCGGAACGCTTTTGTTGTCAAGCCTCGCATAGTTTTTTCTGCTGACTCGGCGGTTTGCTGGCTGCTGACTGCTGACTGCTGGTGGGCTAGCGTAGTGCCAAACCGTGCGCGCGCCAGTCAGTTTGGTGGCAGCAGTGATTTCTTGCAGTTCAACGCAAACTCATTTCGAACATCAAAGCGCTTAGGCATACAGAAARCAAGAGCAGGAAATAAAAATTAGAAGCAAGAAAAATAGCCCGCATGTGAGCTGAACAATGCGCCGTSAAATGGTGAACGTCTTGTGCAACATGCAGCAGTCGGCAGCTTCATCAACAGTTGCGGCGCCGTTGCCCACGGCGAACTTCTAGGTAGACAAACGCTCCGTCAGTGAAGATGCGTCACTGAGGCATTCGCTCGGTGCGTTAGTCGGCCGCATAAGTTGATCTTTTGGCGCTTTCTTGTGCTATGCTTGCGGTGAAGTGTGCGGTATATATCGCCAGCGCGGACAATTCAGTCTGATTTGAACGCATTTCGCGTGCGGTTGGTGTATTGGAAGCGGTGATCGATCGTTCGTGCGCGCGCATGGCGAAGACGCGTGTGTGTGCAAGTGGCGCTACTCGCAAACTTAAGGCAAAAGTGTGCACCGTTACAGTGTTGCTTGAAGTGGTAGGGATTGTGGCAAAAGTAAATAAGTAAATATATAAATTGAAATTACATTTTAAGTGAATAAAGTGCAAATTGAGCGCGGTGGAAACGTTTTAGCAAGTAAAGTTAAAGCAAAGCAAGCTTATCATTTTTTTGTCGAACCTATTATATTACGAAAGTGTCTAAGCCACGCTAAGTGAGTATAAAGTGCGCGAGTAACTGAAAAAAAAAAAAAATTATAATAATAATTTTTGTGTTACGGTGCACGAAAGCGCAAAAATCTAATTTGAAATTTTATAGTTTGTTTGTTTTTGTGAAGAAGAGTTGAAATTGTTTGAGAATTTCAAAAAAAAATTTTGTGAAACGTTTGTTTTAAAGTTTTTGTGCGCAAAAATAGTAAAAAAAACATTGTTAGTAATAAAAAGTCACAATCTTTTCACACGCTCTTATCAGTTTGTTATCAGCMAATTCATTTCCTTTAAAATCCAAGTGCTGTCAATGTAATTCATGACTAAAGCACAACAAACATACAAGAATGGCTAAAAAAATCACAACAATGTCTTGCAGTGAACCCCTGGTATAAAGCTTTGACGGCGTCAAGTGCGTGACGCTATATTCAAGTTTTGCAAGAAAGCAAAAAAANNAAAAAAAAAATAAAAAAAAAAAAATTAAAATAAATTTTATTTTTAAGAACAACAGCAAAAACATAACGGCTCTTACAAGCCAACAAACTTTAGCGATTTTCTGCAAACTTTCATTTGTTAACCTTATAAATTGGCTGCCACAATGAGCCTCGCCGGCGCGAATCAATTAAATAATGTCAGACGTGTGTCACCGGTGATTTTATCGGCCACGTCGTGTGACTTGAATGCGRCGTTGGCGCCGGCAGCGGACAACACAGCGCAGTGGGAACAGAATTTCGAGGCGAAAATCAAAGATTTATCGCCCAGCGAGCAGGAGGCCGTACGCCGCTTYTGGAGGTAAGTTTTCAACATAAAATTTTAATAAATGAAAGTTACTGCGTGGGTGACAATAAAAAAAAAAAATAAATGAATTAAAATAAATTTTATAATAAAAATGCAAAGTAAGTAAGCAGTGCTGCAAATATGTTTAATCGTGTTTTTTTTTTTGTAAGCGCATTTGTGCTGAAGTGTCAATAAGCATTGAAATATTATTTTCGAATTTTTTCTCCGACAAAGCAGTACAAGTTCAGCCAGACTTCATGTAGTCTATGCTTATTTCCATGGGATTAAGTTGTTGTAGTAGCGTATCTAATTTRGAAAACACGACTCTACTGTCAAAACAATCAATCCACTTAATCTTATTTCCTTAAGCCGTATTATCTTTAATAGTGTGGATATATTTGAATSATGTTATCCGGCGCAATTGAGTGCTTGAGTGTTTTGAGATTTGTTTTCGAATAAATAATGCAAATAAAAAAATACTACTTTTACGGCAAACTTTTAATATTTAAACAAGAAAAAAAAAAGGTAACTTCCCCTACACCGTATCTATAATACCCTGCACAGGTGCGTTTTTATAGCAAAGAAGGGTATAAAAAGATAATTTTCAGATTTTGTTCGCTCAGYCTATATGKTAGCTATACGCTATAGTGGTCCGATTTAATGACTTCTTCGTAGACTGTTGCGAAGTCTTGAATAATAAGCAATGTCAAATTTCGGAACGATACCTGGTCAAATAAAAAASTTTTCCRTATAAGCACTTGAGTTGAATTGGTCASTTTATATGGTAGCTATGTATATGCTACAGTAGTCTGATTTAAAAAATTTCTTCGAAGGTTATGGCTGTGTCGCAGATAATAATCTATGCGCGATTTCGTAAAGATAGCCCGTCAAAGTCAAAAGTTTTCCTTACAAGAGGTTAATTCCGATCGTACAATTTGTATGACAGTTGTATGCCATATTGATCCAATATCGACGGTTCTGCCAATGAAGCAGTTTATTGGAAAGAAAAGCAAGTGTACAAAATTTCAGGGCTACATCTCAAAAACTGAGGAACTAATTCGCTTATATACAGACAGAGGGACAAAAGAACCGATAGACGAACATGACTAAAGCGACTTAACTCGTCACGYTGGTCATTTATATATCGTCACCTAAAATGCAAAATAACGTAACATCACTTTTCATAAATTTATAGGCGAAGGAAAACCGATAGTTGAAATCACTCTTATTGATAAAAACAAGAGTTTTGGTTATAAAATGGTTATATATTGSTTATATCTGCCTACGGAAGYTGAAAATGTTATGCTAYATATACATATGTAATATGATGCAGCGAATTCTAAGAAATAAAAAAACTCAATTTCTATTATTTTAATGATACGTTGCTTTGCATTTATTTTACGATACGACATGCACCTTATAGGGTTTTCCATGTATCCTTTTGGGTATTAAAAATTTTGATGCAAACTTAAGATCTCCGTTCAGGTCATAAAAATATATTTATGAAAGCCACTAACAATAACTATAAATATAGTTTAATTCCGGTTTTAATATTTTACGATTTTGGTTGTTATTWCGTATTTTCTAATTCTGCTTTGCTAAATTTTCATTGGAGACAAAATTTGAGTTGAGTATAACATAAATAATTTATTCGTCTAAAAACCCCTCCTCATTATTATTTCTCAATTATAGAAATAAATTATTTGAAGTAGTTTTTTTTTACCTTTTCATTAAAATTTTTTCCATATTAAAAGTCGTCTGTTTTCTCTCTCCGCGTTGTTCTAACAAAAAAAAAAATGTACGAAGCATTAAAAACTAATTATGACGCACACAACTCGAGTCAAAACAAAAGCTATTTGAATACCAAGGCATTACCCTTGCTTAGAAAACTATTTTTCAGACAATCGAAATTAATTATGAAGTGATTTCCAAAAGAAGGAGACTTAAACTTGAAAGGGTGAAATGTCTGAAATGAAAAATGGAAAGAACTGTAAAGTGTCAGACTCTCCAATGTAAAAATAAACCAAAGGTAAGAGAAAATAAACCAAAATTAAAAATAATGGAAAATGAAGGAAAATAACGAAAGGGCTGACACACAGGAGACTTATCATGCTCAATAATAGAAAAGCATTGACTTTGTTGATGGCGAAAAGCGAAGAAAAGTGCTAAAATACCGACAAAGAGTTCTAAAAGAAGAGCGTTATGAACTTTGGCTGTCATAGAATTAGGGAATGCCAACAAAGGAATACTGGGAGAAGCTACATATCTACACAAACTGAATTCTAAATATCGGTTTAGCTTTGTGAGAGATTTCATTAAGAAGAGTTTTTCTGAGACTGTTTTCAGTTTTGAGGTGTATTTTCTTAAATATTTTTATATAAAAAATTCGGATTTCGAAAAACATTTTTTACATAAATACCGTATTAAATTAAATTTTTCCATAAGAGTATAAAAGCAAAAACTGTGTTCCCCATTTCAAAAATTATTCTAATATCGGAAATTTATGTGCCCCTCAGCGGCGTCACTTGTTGTTCTTCGCCTCAAATTTGTAATCCCATTGATGCATAGATATGTACTATAATGCAGCCTTCAAGCAGCCTGTGGCAGCATATAAATTTTTTAATATATATTTTCACTTTTTACGCCAACTTCGACAGCCATAAATCAGCACGTCTATAAATTATGTTATTTTCATAATATTTTCCCAACCAAGTGGCTGCTTAAGGGCCAAAGGCAACAGCCATAAGCCACTGCCAACGAGCGTGCAGCAGCGTGGCAGCATTCTGGGCGCCTGTTATGCTTAATTTAATGACAGCGAACATTCAACATAATGTGGCATCGCGCACTGTGTGGCTGAGTTGGCTGCACACACATGCAAACATGTAGAGCGCCAAAGAAAGCGCGCTCCATGGCGGCCAAAATAATAGCTGCAGCTATATGTGGATCTGTGTGTGTGTGTGTGTGTGCTCATTTGGTTGGCGTCGCTGGCATTCCCATTTCTTTGCCACATCCAATGCAATTAATTATGAAAATCTGTTGCATCTGTTGATGATGCATGTTGCTGCCGTTGAATGATGCGTGAAATGTTGCGCGCCAATTCCAAGTGGTTTATTCTCAATTCTCCTGGATCRTATAGTTCTTCTTGTTACAAGCAAATTTTAATTGTAATGTTCACATTTTTATATTTTCTGTAAGTCGTGTATTTTATTAATTGGATTTTTGTAAATTTTTTGCTCGTTGCAGGTCGGTGGTGATGCGCAATGCACCGCGTCTCTTTGGCGAAGAAAATGGTGAGTGAAATGTYCTTGTAAAAATAATTAAATACGCTATTGGTGTTTTAGAGATGTGTTGCTTGCATWACATTAGGGTGGTAAAATAAAAATAAAYGAATGTTGAGCAGAAAGACCGTTARATAGAGGAACTACACGTTACGCTCATACTTGGAGAACCTTTCATAGAGGTATCTCTCAACCCATTCCTTAGAATGCGAAGGCAAAAAATGCAATCGTTTATTTTTAATCACCTTGACATACATATAATTATTAAAGGTATTTGTGTAAGYAAAAATACACAGGGTGGATCGATTTTCAACTTTTAGGCAACAGAAGCCACATCTGATCTCGTTTAAGTCAGATATCGTCACCTAAAATGCAAAACGACGTAACAGAGCTTTTCATAAGTTTACAGTCGAAGGAAAAACSATGTAAGAGAAATCAGTCAAGTTGAAAGGAAACTTGAGTTTTGGTTATAAAATGCTTATATAGTGGTTACACTCATATTGAATAAAAATTTGGTTACAAAATGGTTATATATTCGTTAAAATATTTGAATGGACTCCAGGCCGTTAGTCTATAAGACTACTAAAATTTCAAAAAGTTGTTGAATGAAATCGGAGGGATTCATATTTTCCCACCAGTTTCGATTTAATGGAATCAAGCAATGAATATGAAAATATATCAMTATATATAAAACATGTTTTGAGAGTGAAAAAATCATTTCGAGAAATTCAAAGCTGTAATAGTCCTATCATATGAATATTCATTTTACGAGAGAGAGTTGATTTTATACTATTTTCCATTGCATGCTTTCAGTGTCCTATACTTCTTCTCTACTTAATATGAGCGATTTTCGTGATGTGGCTATAATGGAATAGATACTGTGAAATTTCACCTTGCATGGAGACAGAAAAAACTTTAACTTCGGTATTAGAGACACCTTCACACATACAAATGAAGAATTGTATGGAAAATTACTTGATTCCAACCGTTCTGTTTGTATGGTGGCTTTATGTTAAAGTGACTCGATCTGAACGATTTTTTCGGYGATTGCATCATTGTCTGAGGTAATAATCCCTRTCAAATGTCGTGAAGATATCTCGTCAAATGAAAAAGTTTTCCATACAAGCACCCGATTTTGATTGTTCAGTTTGTATGTTAGCTATATGCAATAGTGCTTCGATATCGGTCATTCAAATGAGTAGCTACTTGATCAAAAAAGGACGCATGACAATTTTAAGATCGTTATCTCAAAAACTGACGGACTTGTTAGCATATATACAAACAGACGCCCAGACAGACATGGCTAAATCGACTCAGTTCGTTAGGTTACCCATTAGTAACTGAACAATCAGTTTAGTTTTTGGCGTAAATTTAACATTCTTTCCACAATATTTATATATATATGTAATTAGAAGGGTCTCTGATTGTTCCTTTTGGGTGTTAGAAACAATATACCCTATTCAGAGTATAGAACGACTTTATTCATTTATAATGAAGTTCTTTTGTACACATTTATAACTGAAGAATTATCTCAAAATTTATTTATTTCTGTTCACCACGATGATGAACATAATTCTTTTCATTAAAACTCATTCACTCGAACGAGTTAACAAAGTAATCATTACAGTGGAAAAGTAAATAACAACAAATACTCATGCCAAGTAGAAACTGAACAATGTTTGATCTTGAAACGATCTTGATTGCATTATACTCATACTATAAAAAGTAGAGAGTGAGCTATTTTGATGATTATTCTTCTAATTGCTTTGACGTGCAGTTTCGATGAGCTCATGTTGGTTATAAAAAAATGTTGTTAGATGCCTGGGGATCTATGTAAAGCGGATGCTTTTCAACTGCCGAGTAATTTCTGCGCCGAATTTCTTCCAAATGCCAGTGCGAAAAGCTTAATTGGGTTTATAATAAGGAAAGTTTATGAAAAAAAAAAAAACATAAAATGAGTTTAATAGTAAAATGGAAGTTCATGACAATAAAGCACCTGCCTTTGCTATAATTGCCTTTGAAGCACTTAGTTTAAAGTTATTTTAAAGTAATTGACACTTTGAAGCTTTTCGCACATTTTGGCGGATWTTAGTAATATGAATCGATATTTTATCAATCAAGGTCAGACAAAAGATAGTTGAATGGTAGCGTCAAATGTAACTAATGCTGAAACGCTTGATTTTGTAAGAAAAACTGCGTTGGCGTCAAAATTTGGACGCAATGGAGGTGTGAATGAGAAATTGGTTTTAACTGCCGTTTTTGTGTTCAAATTTATGAATGAAGTCACCATGAGTTAATACAACAAAAATATTGTTATTTTTATTGCATGTTTACGCTACCAGTGACTAAATATACGTTTCTTATGCATAGAGTTGACAAAGCCCTGAGAGTAACTGGTTTTTTTGAAAATTCGAAAAAAATTARTTAGTCAACAATATTTATAYTAAAAAAAATTTTTTTTCTGATTTTTGTTTTTACAGATTGAATCAGTATATTTTGGCTAATACACCTACTAGCCGTTTTCACATTAGCTATTTTTGGTTGTGATATATTCGAATGCGTTTGTAGACGAGTGTGGGTGGACTTGCAGCGAGTTGCAATCGATTTGGTGTTAGCTACAATTTGGGTGATTGAAATGATAAGCTGGTTTTAAATGGCGCAATGTTTACGTCTAGATAAAAACTGGCTGCGATATTAAAAACAAAAATTTGTTGATTTTGATTGCCACCTCCAGCACTTGGCAGAGCTAAAATATAACAGAATTTTTCTTATTTTTTAATTTTTATTGTTTGCTTATATTTTTTTAATAATTATTTAAATAACCAAGAATGCAATCAGCAAGCTGTGCAGCAATTTCGTTCGGAAACTGCAATTTTCCCAACATTTCCCACTTACATCCGGTCGCATGTCGCCAGCATTTAGTTTAGCTTTGTTTGCTTGTTGCCGTTGCTAYTTACAACAACAGTTAATTAAATAATGCTATTAACCTTTTTTAGTTTGTGTGGGCGCTAAAGTAATTACGAATTCAAAATGATTTATTTATTGCATACCCARAGTGGCAACGCTGTAACTCATCACCGGCTTGGTTTGTAAGATTTTTTCCGCACAAAACCAAAAAACTGAAAAACAAAATAATGACTTTTATTGCGTAACTGCACAACTTTGTTGTTGCTAGCGGCTATTAAACGTCTCAATTTACACATTTCACGAGCATAAAAATGGCAACTCGGCTCTGTGCGAGCGCGAGATTTTTTCCACGAGTTTTTCACTTGTGCGCTTGCCAACTGCAGCGCGGCTGCTGCAACGGAAATTGCGGCCATAAATTTTACGTCATCAATTTTTGGTTATATGGCGTTTATTCGTTGATAAATTTTTCCATSTGAGCGCAATATGTTTCAGATTTATTTGCGGTTTTTAATACCYTGAACAGAACTGAATGAACTATTCATTGTTTTTTGTTTTTTAGATTTCCATCTGAAATTTCGTGCACCCACTTTTCTTGCCAATTGTCGGAACCGCCGATATTGGACAACTATAGCTTATAGCTGCCATACAAACTGAAGATCGCAATTAAGAGTTTGCTTGGAAAGCTGTTTCGTTTGACGAGATATCCTCAAGAAATTTGGCACTGATTGTTGCTTAAAGCAAATTGAAATCAAAATCGAGTTCCCGTTAGGAATATATGGCATTTGTGAAGGGTATTATAGCTTTGATGCAACTGAWGTTAACGTTTTTTCTTGTTTTGTGTCGATTTTTTGAAAAACTCTTTGTTGCATTTATTTGTTAAGGTCTTTCGCCAGTTTTGCAGTCACTGCCTTGCCGCTTTTGGCAGCACATATGCGTTGGTAACCGCTGCATTCGTGCTGCGTGGGTTGCTGTGCTGTTGCAACACTGTTGTCGCTGCTAGAAAAAACTGAAAATGTTAGAAGAAACTCTTATTTTTTCTAACAATTGTTTTGAGCAACAAAATATATATTTTTGGATCATTRTTAGTTTTTTTGATTGCTTGGCTCATTGTTTGTTGCAGCTGCAAGCAAATTTGTATGTAGTTTTTGTTAAAATGGCATAAGTAAATATTAACATGTATTTGATTTAAGCTTTCCAAACCTTTTTYGACGCTGCGCCTGAGCAATTTGCCAAACGTTTTGCTGCCATTTATGCCGAGATCGCGGTTTTGAGCTTGAATATCATAAATTTCTTGCATTTAATGGCAATTGCTTGCCATACGCCGGCAGCAGTGATGCCACATTTTGTAACTGTTTACATATTTTTTTATGGTTTGTTGCCATGTGGGTGTTGTAGACCACGATCCTAATTGTAGGTTAAATTGGCTTGTTGTTGTAAAAAAAAAACAAAAAAATCAATGCTGGTTGAAGTTTTCATTGCTGCGCTTGTGATTTTGATAGTTTCTGCTTATACTTTTTGTATAACTGGGTTCTAAAATTTGTTGTTGGGAGTTATAGGGTGGTCAATGGCACTTAAGTCTAAAGTTGCAACCATCTGCCGCATAATTTCTGGTAAAAGTAATTGAGTAGTCGAAAAAGTCTTTTCGTATTTTGACAATAGATGCCRTTGCAGTCGTATATCCTTAGTGCTACCAATCATCAGATTACCATATAATAAAAAAAAAAAAAATAAAAATAAGTGGAAGTTTGATTAGAAATACGAAAACACTTTTTGACCACCCAATATTCATTCATTCAAAACTTCTAACTTATATAAAATTATTGGAAGTACCTAACCTCATCTAGCTCAGTATTAACGGTTTTAAGTATTAACAAGTGAAAAAATTATAATTCTTGTGCCATACAAAACGCTTAAAAGGCTTACTGCAAAGCAAAATTAGCCATATACAAGCATATGGTGCAAAGGCTGTGCAGCTAACCCCTTGGGTATGAATGCTACAACTTAATTTATACTTTATAACCAAAAGTCCGTTGATATTGAGAACAAAAACACAATAATAACAGTAGAAATAAAGCTAAGGCCAAATAAAAACCAACAAAATACGAGCGCGCAACATTAAACCAGAAAAAAATAATGAAAAAATAACAGAAAAGSTMATAAAAGCMAAATTGCACCCAACGATATGCAACTTGCAACGTGCAATGAGCCGACAAGCGACCTCCTCACGTAGCTGCACGCATACCATACCGCAAGCACGAATGTAAACAAGCGTCGAAATCAATACGAATTAACAACAACACCTAGCAAAGCCGCTGTCCACGTCGCCAACGGTTGGCCAMAGCGCGCCACGTTCGCTTGTCCATCGATCATAATTCCATGTGGCTAAAAACCGCAGAAACCAAGTCAATATCGCCACACGTATGTGTGCCGCATGTTGCAATCAACAATTTACACTGCGCGTGCGAGTGTGTGTGTTTGAGTGCGCACATGTATTTATGTGTGTCAAATTTAATGACTAAATTATTTGTGGAGGTGGCGTGGAACAGAAAATCAAGTAAGGCAACAAAGCGCAGCGAAAGACGCGTGAAAACGAGACGCCCAAGCTACCAAGCGTGCAACATACCAACACACATACATACATACATATGTGGTAAAGCGCAACAAGCTGAATGAAACAGTAACAATAAACGGCAATAATTGCTATAAAAAATGCCAAGTGGGCGCATGCGTGACGGCTGGCAAGCATTTATTTAGTCTTAGGGCGCGTCAAAAAGAAGAGGAAGTCACTTAAAAGTTGTGACAATGAGGAAAGCTGCTGCATGCATTGAAAATGACATAARTAACAGTAACACTGACAACAACAAGAAATGCTGCAGCCGAAATTCCGCCTAAAACGCGCATTGAATGGCTGGTGACACGCTGCTTTCGTTGTATGTGTTGTTGGTAGGCGCTTTTCGGTTTGACCAGTGCATGCCAACAACACCAATGCCGCGCAACACAAAAAATGCATAATAGCCGCTGACGATTACAAAGCACGTTTTTACGGTAGCCTTTGACAACAGCATCAAGCAGTAATGCTGGGCCGGGAAGCTCTGTCGCGTGCGATGAATGAAGTTCGTTGCAGTAGCTGCTGCGCGTCGGCCGTAAAGCTCGAAGATATTTAATGGTAACGTGCCTCAGCAGCAGCTGCTAACGTTTTGACAGCCACTTTCGGACGGACAGTCAGCGTTTTCTGCGCTTTAATGAAGTTGAAATTCGCGGATTAAAAATGCAAAGCACGTTGCCACCTTCACTTGCAATTCTGTTTTCCAATTTAAACACACGAGCGCTTTTTTGTTGTTTTTCGCTTCTTTCTGTTGTGCTGCAAAACCACGCTTTCGGTTTTGCGCATTGCACGCTGACGGTGGAGACTGAAGTGTGGAGGCTGTTCGTGCTGCGGTTGTCGTTCACTTTCTCACTTTCCGTGAAGGCGTTGAATCATTTGTATGCATTAATACCGTTAATTTAACATTATTTATTTTTTTCAAGTTTAAAATACAATTTGACACTTTTCTTTTCATATTTTCGTTTTTTAAGTAAGTCCAATGTTCTATATGTATAGTCGGAAAATTTTTTTCGTATTTCTAATCAAACTTCAACTTATTTTCCTATATTTATACTAAAAAATAAATAAACAAATATGTACCATTTTCGTCAACCGTTTATACGCTAGAGACATTATTCCATCAGTGTAAAACTTTTCTGGTTTCTCGGCGAAAAACTTCGACAAGTCATTTTCAGAGGCTTCTCTTGAAGCCAACTCCATTAAGGGAGTTCTGCATTGACCGAAACAAATGGTAGTCCGTTGTTGCAAGGTCAGGGCTATGTTATGGATGCGTCAGAACTTCCCAGCCAAACTCTCGCAGCTTTTGCCGGGTCATCAAAGATATGTGTGGTCTAGCCTTGTTATGATGGAAGACGAAGCCATCTCTATTGATCAGCTCTGGCCTTTGTTTCGATTGCTTGCTTCAATCTCATCAGTTGTTGACAGTAAAATGTAGAATCAATTATTCGTTCAGGCTGGAACAGCTCATAGTTGATGATCCTTTCCAATCTCACAAAATGCTCAGCATAACCTAGTCCTTATTTATTTCCAAAAAAATAAACCAAGCGTGAAGTATTTTATTCACCTATTTCTATTGTAATAACCACAACCGTATGTGTAGTACTCAGCACTCACTCTCTTACCTTATCGCCTCTGACTAAAATAGTTCTCAGTTAAAAGCTGATAAGAACTATGCCCATTTAGATAAAAACAAACGTTGCTTATCAGACATTTGCGCGATCTGCTTTGTGCTTTACACCGCTAGCCGCTTGCAAGGGGAGCCTTCACTTTCGGACTATTAACTCATTCTATAAACAGAGATTACGCGATATGAAGGCATGCATTTCATTAAAAGGCACACAAACAAGTTGGGAGTCGGTAGAGGGACGACAGCTAGGTAGGGAAACACTGATAAAATTTTATACTTTTATATTTTGACTGAAAGTGTAGTTGGACGTGTAAACGACACGAGTAATATGTCGGTGGTGTGGCAGTAAGGTGCGCGTTTTGAAGCAATTAAAGAGTGAAAACTAGAATTCTTGGAAATGCGCTGTTTGAATACGAAAAAAATGAAAATTTAAGCGAGTGTTCGAATGTGTTTCAAGTTCACAAATTTGCAAAATTATTTGGCGCGTTACAAAATCGGTTTCTGTGCTTATTTAAAGTGTTCGTAATGCTTTCGAGCGCGTTGCTCCTATTGTGGGTTGGCTTGTGGTATTTTAGCAAACGTGCCGCAGTGGATGGCAAGACGAGAAGCGTTTTGGAGCACAAGCAATTGAAGAGGCTCAGAGAGCTGGCAAGTAAGACCAAGTAACTATATGTATCAAATATGTAAATGATTTCTGATTGTCTTTGCTAAGTATTGTTGTGGTTTTTTGTAAGCAAAAAATAATTATATTTTAAAAAAATTTTTTTTGATTCATGATAGTTTCACTTCGACGGCAGCGCCAGCAGTAACGGCCAAGCTGCTAATGTCAGGTGTGGCACAACAAAGCATCCCAGCTGCCTTAATGGGTTTGATTGTGTATAATGTATTTAAATTCCCTCCAGCGCTCTGTGTCTTCAAGCCAAGCGCAAGATTTACGACCATGAATAAGTGGCCAATTCTTTTGGCTCGTTGCTTAGTTATGCCTGATTGCGCGATTCGACAACGATTTCATTTATTTGTTTGCTCGTTTGTTGCTTGCTTCGTTGCGATCTGCGCTTGAATTTACTCTGACGTTACTTGCATCAAATCACCTTCAAAGTATTCCAAGAATCGCTTACATTTCATTATAGTCGCTGATGTTGCTGAACTTGAGCGCGCAGAGCACAGAGACGTGTCTCGAATTTCAAACTTGACCTTGAAAATGACATGTATACAAATGAGAAAATGGCGAGTTTTAATAATAATAACTTTTTATTGTATCTCCGCTTTATGCTTTTATTGTCTGTTGATCTTGCATTTTTGCACACATCTTCGTCTGACGATCGACGCTGCTTTGTGTGCAGTCGTTCGCCGTGCTTCAAGTGTGGTCGACAGGGGCAGCGATTTGGTTTGGGAACTTCTTGCATTCTTATATTGTTATGATATATATGTTCTTAGTTTTGTCTCATTTACGCTTTCTTTGGGAGTATTTAAAATTTCTTTCCTGCTAGGCGTACAATAACTTTTATGTAGGTTGATTCTGAACAACTTTTCCTAAGGGACTATGGGTCTAACACCGGTTTCGAGCCATCGAGTTTTAAAGCGAAGAAAAATCTAAATAATCGGTTGTATAACAGTTATGGGGATATAGTGAGGTGCTGTCCGATTCTGATAAAGTATACAATAGAATATCAATAAATAGCTAGGAATTAATTTTCCTTCGATAATTCATAGCAAAGCCTAGTATCTTTCTACCTACATTACATCTGTAAATTACAAATAAGTAATCTCAATTTCTTGTGTGTAGTTCCAAAGCCAGAGAACACAGTGGGAGAAGACCAGCATCACTGCTCAGATATAAGAAGTATAAGAATGAGGCTTACCGATCGATAGGTTACCTAGTCTTTAATTTGCTTTCCTGAGCTCCTTAAATAAATAAACTTAATAATTGTGAGTTGTTTTATAAGAATAAGGAGAAAAATTTCTCCCTCTTATACAATTTTTTGATTATTTTTGTTATTCCTCCGGCGGAATTGCATTTCAGTGCTGCCAAGAATGTCTCGAGTAATCTACACCGTGTGTGGTTGCTGAAATTGCCACTTAGGCGCGCGCACGCTCACTCACTCCATTCAAGACGCCGCATCAAACAGCTATTTATATAGCCAAGCGCCCCTACATCCACTCGTGCATGCCACCGCCAAACTTCCCTGCATCAAAATATTTACCTATTGTGAACGTGCTTTGTGGGAGTTTGTTTACCAGGCATGCCTTTGAATGTATGCACCAGCGCCGCTTTGCTTGCCTCGAGTATATATTTTTTAAGCTTACATAGCGTCATAAAATATGTAAAGTCTGCAGTTTTGTCCGCCCAGTCGGCATTTGTGCCGCCTTTGACTGCAGTGCCTTTCTTACATTTATTAGCAAAGTGTTTCCGCTTGCTTGGCAGCACTTTTTGTTATTATAATTTACTATATCCACCATGACTAGCCATAAACAATTTACGTAGTATTTATTTTTATGAGCACATTTTACATTTAAACACTTATTGCTTGTTTTTTTCTAAACGATAACTTCTTTTGCTTATCTCTCTTTGCTGTAGGTCGTCTGCCACAATTGTATGCCGGCAATTCGGCTGTGGCGTCTGCCGCTGCCGCGGCGAATGTACGCAACTGCAATTGCTGTCCGTACGGTTACCACATCGATTTGGATTTTGTGCGCTACTGTGAATCGCTGGCCAATGCCAAGCCATCGGAGGAGGAGTTGCAGCGGCGCAGTCGGCGGCGCTCGCGCAAATCAATGGAATTCATGCTGGGTCTGGACGCAATGTTCGAGCAATGGGATGCCGCTGCACGGGTGCAGGCCGTGCCAGAGGTGAGTGAGTGCGCAAAAGGCGTGTGTGTGTGCCGTTGTTTTTAGTGTTGCATGCTATAAACGATAAGCGCTGTGGCGCGCAAACCTATTGAATGGCGGCGTTTCCAAAGTCAAATTGCCAAGTCGAGGCATTTAATTGAGTTTTGCGCGCTTGTTGGCGCAAACCCCAGTCCCGGCTTGCCGTAAAATCTAATGGATTTGTTGTTGTTTTTATTTATTTATTTCGCTGCATGCAAAGATGGAAGAATGTGCTGTGGGTATGCCGACGCCGACGCCGGAGTGCCTGCTATGATTAATAGTTTATGTTGGGTTAAAGGCTGACTTTGAAAATTTATTTCAATGCCGCGTTAGAGGGCAATGCTGCGGTTTCTCAATAACTAAGCCAGCTTTAATGTCGATGTTATGGATATTGGCAGATTGAGTTGCTGGCTCAGTGTGATATTTGGCATAGTATGGTATTCATTTCCAAGTTTTTGCTTAGAGACTGTATGGACTTGATCAAACGAATAACTTGGCAGATGGAAATATATAGAAATTTGTTTCTAGAATGAAAATAATATAACGATGTTTATTATTTCACAAATTGTCTGTCCTTCTCATTAGATAAATATCTGAAGTAATATATTTGATTTATAAGTGAATAATATAGTATTTAATAATTTTATAAACATTTCGAGAATTGTAAGTAACAGAGCGAACGCCAGAAAATGTTAACGACATCATTGATATGAGAGCATCTATCCTGATCGATACTGCCTCATTTTCAGTTTGCGTACTCACATTAATCATACTTAAAAGGCTTGGTTAGAGAAAGAGAGAAAGGGAGAGATAGAAAGGTGGAGAGAGAGAGTTTTCTACAGAATATGTTGAAATTATCCGCTTGTTTAAAAAAGGGAAAGAAAGATCTAAAATGCAATTAGTTTCCCTGTCGAATGAATGAAAATATTATTTTTCGACAATGGCTTCCTGTCCGTAATTGAGTCTCTTCCAGATCATTTCTGTAAACATTGTGCCATTACGCCAAAGATAATTGCAACGCAAGTGCCACTGAAAGCCATAAATATACCACATCTACAGCTGTATGTTTGAAAGGGGGCCTCATTGGGGTTCTCAAGCAGCGAATGACTATTTCATTTGTCTTTGAGTCATAAATGCAGACTTTGATGTTCCAAACAAAATAAAATCCGCGCTGCAACGCGATTATATTTACAAATTCCACAGAAGCGCGAAAAGCACTACGAATCGAATATGTCATGTTTTTAGAAGGGGAATAATTATGACGTTGAGTTTCGCGTGTGCTCAACACGTGAGCGACATCAAAGAGCGTTGCGCAAATTACTCGCAATTCGACGAAATCGAAAGTGAAATTGTATGGAAACCACAAAATGAAAAGTTGATTGAAAACGCACACGCATATACTCACCGGTAAACATACATTGATGTCATAAAATATTTGTATATAGATCTAAAGAGCAACTTCACACACTAACCGCAACAATTTCTTTTACAGGTGCCATACGAAAGTGACTCACCCGATTCGCCACGCCTGCTGCCGCCACCCATACCACCTGCGCCCACGTCTGCCTCACACCCCACGTTTTGCACATCTACGCCGCGTCCGCGCTCCTCCTCAGTGCCGCGCTACAATTACGACAGCAGCAGCAGTGCRCCCCGCGCTGAATCGCCCTACGGCACAGCGTCATCCACATGCTCATCAGTACGCGGCGCAGAGAGTGACGTGCCCTACAGCATACTACGTCAGCGTCACAAGGAACATCAATCACGTCGTGATGCGCCCGAAACGCGCGCCTTCCTGCGTGAAGCGCTCGACGAGGTGTGCAGCGACTTTGAGCGTACGCTGGAGCGCACATCGTTGCGGCGCAAGAAGACGGTAAGTTGTAATGAGCGGGATGGCACTTTAAGTGGTGGGGGTGGTGGCGCATTGAATGGTCAATTATACGTTTATGGCGTGGCCAGCGATCGCAACAACAATCATCAGCCGACATATGCGATGAAGACGGATTTGCCGCCGACGAAATTGGGCAGCGCGAGTTGGCTGCGCGATAATTTCACGCGGAATGGCTACAACTGTAATGGCAAGCGTATGTGCTCCGCCCGGGAGCGGCCTGTCGAACAATCGTTTGGTGAGTATGATTTGCTTGGTTTTGCATAGAACGCGGTACATTCGAGACACTTTATTGCGGCATTTTGGCAATGCACTCGAAATTTTTGTGACACATTCTTGTACTTTGCTGCTGGCAAGTATTTGAATGCATTTAAATGCCGTTTATCGCCGAATAGCCTGGCAAATCGGTGTTGACAGACACACCTCGATGGTTTTAGATGTATGCTCCGCGCTTGTTGCCGCCCGGGGGTCGTGTCCACATTAAATTATTTGCCCTAAGCCATAAAATACCGACTTGTTGCAGAATTTATTCTATGAGTTCGAAAGTACACTTATGTGCGTGCAAATGTGTCTGAGTTTGTCTTGTGCAAATTTTCGCTTTTTTTAAATTAATGCAAAAACTTTGCTAAATGTAGGTCGCTCGAGGTTGGACATGATAGACTTCGAGCGCGCATTGTATTTAAATTACATTTTGTGATTTCGCGAATACTTTTTTTTACTTTCTGTGTAACTTTGTTGCTGACTCATTTCGTTAGTTGAATGTGGTCACGTGAGTATTCGAATGCAATAAAAGTTTAAATATATATATATAGAATAGTCCACTTTTAGAACAATTTTAGCTAAAAACAGGGTTGATTTGTCTTTCTATAGGCATTGCTCGCGCCAAACAAACATTTTTCCCATCGAAATTCCGCAAAAGACATTAGAAGTATTGTTTAATGGAAAGTAAAGAACTGAAAAATGAGAAATACAGAAATATATATACGTAATAAAACCAAGTAAGGTAGGTCGAAGTTCGGGTATAACCGAACATTTCATGCTCTTGCAACTTGAGGAGGCTAAAGTCGGGGTAATACCTTCTGGTTCATAAGACTTGTTAGTTATCCCACATAACTAGGGCAATTTTTCACCCGATTTTATTAAATCTAAGACGTAAAATGTCATCCGGAAGTAGTTAGGTATATGGGGGCTCAGGGAAGCATTGACCCGATTCAAACCATTTAATCGATACTTAGAGATACTATTATCAGGAAAAAATTTTCTCTGAATTTCAGTTGTATATCTCTCGCATTGACCGATATTTTCGATAAAAAGTAAGCAGTGGGGTCTGTGGTCCACATATTCGGTACTCGGAGGCTTGAATAATTTTACTTCCATTTGGACTAGTTTCGGCAATAAGGTGGCATACTTCAAAGGCATTATTCGTGCAAAGTTTCATCAGGATATATTAATTACTTTTTGATTTTTTGACAGGAAATTTAAATTTCAAATAGAAAGTTATATGGGAAGTAGGCGTTGTTGTAGTCCGATTTCGCTCGTTTGCACGCTGTACTATAGGAATGACAATGGTTGAAAGGGGTCCGAAAATTCTCGAGGTATGTACTTGATTTCACCTAAAAGTGTCGGGCGCCACGCCTATCGTCCAATTTTGAGCACAGCTCCATTAAAGTACTGTTATACCATCTCGGGGGTAAAATTTAATGTCTCTGGCGTATTTACTTACTGATTTAAGTAGTTTTTAAAGGTACCGTTATATGGGAAGTGAGCGGGGTTATTGGTGCTGGGCGTGGCAGTGGTCCGCTTACGCTCATCTACAAATTCATGCTTACTTACTTAGGCCGAGAAACGCGTGTACCATCATCTCAACTTATATCTCAGTTTTTACTCATGTTATTATTAGCACGAATGAACGGACGGACCAATGGACAGACATACAGTCATTCGGGATTCAACTCGTCTCAATATTCTCATCATTTATATCTATATCTATAACTCTATATATATTTCGACAAGTTTTGTGTGATGTAAACAACCGTTAGCTGAACAAAACTATTCTACTCCGTAGCAACATGTTGCAGGAGTATAAAAACGCCAACAAAAATAAAAATGCCTAGTCAATCTACAGCGCAGCTACCTTGGCGTCAAATGTGCGTCGTCGCATAAAGCGGAACCAACGAGTTGCGTCTGTGACGTATCTCTTCGGGCATCTCCACAGCGCTTGTGTGTGATTCATCAGCACAAGTGCGGAGATCACACGCGGAGGCATTAGACTACAAACTTACATATGTATATACATACATGTAGGTACTTACACTTGTGTGCCGGTAAAAACAGAAGTGCGTATGGTTAGCCGAGTACAACCTAAAAAAAAAAAAGAAAATTAAAGCAAAGTGGTTGAGATAAAACATGGAAAAGTAAAAAAAATCCTGCGCGAAGTGAACTTGAGGGGTGAGCGTGTAAGAGCTCGCAGTCTTTCGGTTATGTTAAGTTAGAAGAGTATACAGCATGTGGACTCTAAGCACCAGAAATCAAAAGAATATGTATAACAATGAATCAGAAAGCGACTACATCGTCTGTAAAGCTAGATCTATAATCAAGTAAGGCTAAGATTTGCCAAACCTCTCATCATTCCACTCACTTTCTCGCACAGAGCGTACTCAAAAAATTGAAAAGGTAAGTATTTGCTCAAAATACCGTGTTAATAATGTGCGGTTATAGCCAATGATTTATGAGCTTCCCTATACACAGAAGTATATTGTAACTCGCTTATGAGAGATAATGGCAGAGCAACGCCCAGCTAAGGCACACACATCACCTGCAGCGTATTTTATCAGCAACTTTATCTTGCGTATCAAAATCAATAATAGCTTTTTACAACAATTTATGACACTTGTCACATATTTCCAGGCCGTCACTGACTTCATAATTTGTACTAGCTCTCCACTCTTGCGGCGCTACAGTTGCGCCGAATTCACTCGCGATTTTGCGCTTAACAATTAACAATTTCTTCACTTAGCTCGCTTGGCAACCTCAATGAGTAGTCTACCGAAAAGTTTCAAGCTGCGCTCGCAATTTCGCTTCTTCCGGCGATGCTCAGCCGCATAATCAGCGGCGAAGAAAGCGCCATTAGCCACCCATCAGTCTATTGTGGGCGCTGGGGCGGCAGCAATCGTGAGCGTATCGCGAGTAGCGTGCAAGAAAAAAGTGTATTCAGCAGCTTTTGTGTAGAAAAACGTTTTGTGTCAAAGTTTAAAAGTCAATAGCAATTAAACTAATCAAGGCTAATGGCAATCGAGCAAAGCAATTGAAGTAATTGCACTGCCTTACAGTGATTTTTCTGCTTTTTTGAGCTTCATATGCAAACAATCTCGCGCCGATAAAAGCAATTAGGTCAACAACAAAAGCAATCGATAGTAGAGGAATTGCACGGGAGTTGCAAAATCGAGCGAGTCATGTGAGGAATTGTGCAAAAATAAAGCAAAGCAGCTTTTATAGTAAAATCCGTAGCGGGTGTGTGTGCGTTTGAGCTCGCTTAGTAAAAGCCGGTAATTAAATTTTCAAATGAAAGCCGCTAAATTGCGGCAGACAGCCAGTACAGATAATAGAAAGCGAGAACGGCGAGTTTTGAGGCGTGAATGTGGGCGGACCGCGTAGTAAAAATATCAAATCGAAAGTGAAATGAATGCAGTAATGCTTAGTTTTAATTAAAATTCGATATTATATTTTTCGGAATTAAAAGAATAAATTTGAAGTAAATTAAAAAAAAATTCAATTTTTTATTTTTCGAAATTAAAAAAAAAAAAATGAAGCAAATTTAAAAAAAAAATAAGAAAAACAGTTTATTAAAAATAAGTTCTTTAACTGTTTCTCTACGCCTGCAAACCAAAGCTTTCAAATAAGTCATATTATGCACCATTTTGTTAAGGGCCTAAGGGTATTATACCCAAAGTGATGGTTTTGCTGATCCGTTCCCTTTCCTCTTAAAAAACAATTACTGCAATTCATTTAATTTTTTACCATGTACGCTCTTAAAGTAATACTTTTCCCGTCATAAAAAGCAACAGCGCATTACCTGCTCTGTAATTACGGCAATTATCAGTGATCGCTTGACGTCAGTCGCATGTTGTTATTTTTGTGATTTGAACTACGAACTCTCGGTTGCAAATACCTTGTTGTTGCCTTTGCTTAAGTGCTATGTAATGTGCAGTGAGAAATATTTGTTTCGAAAATGTTCGCCGCTGCTGGGAAAGCAAATCGACGTAAGGACTGCAAGTTGCCGCTAAGTTCGAACGAAAACAAGTCGGTATCGAGATTGAAGGGCATGAAAAGCTGGTGGAACAACTGTACGTGAATTGAAATATATTTCATGTTTATTATTTTTTTGTTGAATATTAAATATATGCTGTAGTCTCGAAAATTTGAATTTCTTCTCAGCGAGCGTTCTTTTGAGATCTGAGAACAGGAAATAGTCGCTGGGGCTTAGATCTGAAGAATGCGGTAGATGCGGAGGTTATCCGAAGCCAATTAGATTTTAACCATCGTTTGTGACACTGTGAAACACGATGAAACAGCGCTTTCTTTTTCTTAAAATACGAATTCAAACGATCCAATAATACTATCTAATATTTGCTGTTGGTGGTCTTTCCTTTTTCAAGGTAGTCAATAAAAATTATTCCATGCGCATCCCAAAATACAAAAATACAAACGCCATAACCTTGGAGTTTAGAGTAAAATGATGAGCCATGTTTCACTCATTGTCACATATCAGCGCAAAATTTCGGATTTCATACCCTTGAAGATCTCCAAACACTGCTTCGAATCACCAACTCATCGTTGTTTTTGGTCGAAAGTGAGCTCGCGTGGCACCAACTTTGCACAGAGCTTTCTCATATCGAAATATTCGTGACTGGTATGATGTATACGTTCAATCGATAACTTTAGAGTGCCTGCTATCTCGAACAACTTCACTGTACGGTCACTCAAAATTATTTCGTGGACTTCTTAGATGTTTTCGTCGGTAACAACATCTTTCGGTCGTCTTCGATGCCTATTTCACCATGTCTAAATTTTGAATACCAATCTTTGATGATTGATTTTCCCGAGGCAGTATCTGCTAACTCATCACCAGACTAAGTTTTTGGTTCAACTGCATTTTTTCTTCAAAAAGCAATCTTTCCAACACATGAAATTTTGTTTATAAATTTTTTTCACAATAACAGTAGTTTCTTTACTCAAAATGTTATAGTAAACGAACATGCCTTTTGAAGGTTACGTCTAACTAAAAATCATATGGACTTAATTCTGTTAGCGCCATCTAGATGTCAGGCCGGGTCTTTTCAATTGATCTTTTATATAGCCGTAGGCTATTTTTCACGCAGCTTTTTGGTATTCTGCTGCAAAATAAGAATGCGTCGGCGAGTTGAACGATAAAATCGATTTTCTGGCTGCTTTTATGAAGGTAGGTAAACGTGTGGATAATAATGAGATAATGTAAATTCTGCTGACAGCCGATTGCATACTTTTCACGTTACTCTGACATGATGACTAACTTGTCACTAATAATTTGGCATAAAATAGCTATGAAGAAGCCTCTTTAAATAATATCGCCAATTGCAGTGGCTCTAACACGAATCTAGGACTTCGTTAGTTTCGGTAGACTTTCATTTCTTATGCTAGTTATGGATCTGACTGCCATTCAAAACCAATCTCTGCCACCTCAAACTGCATGCTTGAATACTTTGTAGCTGCTAAATGTCAGTGTCGTCTTGAAGTACTTTCATTCAAATCAATAATTTGCATTGCTTAAAATTATAAATTATCACTTCAATACATGTACTCGCGAATTCGTAATAAGAATTTGTGAATAATGGCATTTGACAAATGTTATCCACCGCAACCACTCATCTTCCCGCTTAGCGGCAGCGTGAGCTCAGCGGCAATACGACATTTGCGATAACAGCAAATAAATCGAAAACCGAATGACAATGAGAAATAAACTTCAACTCGAACAGGCCAAACTGGCTTTAGGTCTTTGTCGACGCTAACGTTGCTGCTGGCGACCTGCTGCTGACTTTGTTTTATTTATAAGTTATTGCATAAGTTCGAGATTTAGCTAAACGCAAACCAAACAAAAAGCAATGACATTAACGAAGGCAATAACAGTTCAGTTGTCGGAAGGCAAATAACAACAAGCGGCAAGCTAGTAAATAACTGCAATTTGCCCAAAAAAAAAAGAAAGAAATATATAACGAAAAAACCCCTACTTAACGGGGCTTTGAGCGGCGCTGAACATCGGTGCGTTCGTCAGTTGTTTGCTGAGCGCGCTAATGGAACGTTTGCGCATCAAAATTATTTTAGTCAAACCGAATGATAAACGAACATGTGAGCCTTGAGGGATTTCAAGTTCGAGTAGCAAATATTTTCGATAATAATTTATTTAATGAATTTCAACCTTCGATGTCATTTTAGATTCCTGTGTAGCCAGCAATAAGTCGCCGCGTACGACGCGCTATCTAGCCAAGGCCGCTGCCGCGTTACCCGTACATCAGAAGCTTTCACCTGCCGAGCAGCAGTATGAGTCATATGTGCAGGCCACAGTAGCGGCGAATGCCAAGTCACCGGTGGAACAGCTGGTGCCGCCACCACCACCGCCGCGCCGGCATGTGCCACAGAAACGTCAGCTGCTGAGTCCTAGCAACGGTGAAACGGAACTTACAGACACAGATGCGATCGATAGAAAGCCATCGCAGCAGTCAGATAATGTGGCACCATCGAGTGAAGCCATAGCTAAAGTGCCTATTGTCGTACCAGCAAGCACGAATGGCGCCGATACAAGCGCTGCAGCAGATGCTCAAACATTGTTTAGCATACGCGAGCAGATGGCGCTGAGCTTAAAACGAATGAAAGATTTGGAAGAGCAAGTCAAATCTATACCGGAACTTCAAGTGAGTTATCTCTTGTTTGTTTTTAACTGAATTTCATTTATATGGTTACGTTTACAGAATGAGCTGACGCAGCTGCGTGATGAGAAGCAGCGCTTGCAACAAACATTACAGCGGAAAGAAGATGAGCTGCTGCGCGCACGTGAACCGCCGCGACTTTCATCCTCGCCGAGTCCGGTCACAAGTGCTAAGAATGGTTCACCCGTGCAGTTTACGCCACAACGCATTAGTCCAGTGTCTTTGGAAAGCTTGGGCTCTCGATTGCGCGCCAACTCAAGCAGCTCGGAGCGCCAGTTGCGCACACCGACTACACTTAAGCGCGATGTGGGTACCATGTGCGGACTGCACGCAAAAAGAGATGTAGCCGTGGGCAGTCCGGTGCACATGGTGCGCAGCGTAGGTACGAGCCCTGCACAGCAGTTAAATAGCATTACTGAAGCCCTTTACTCGCAATGGGAAATGGAGGAGCATACGCAAGTAGCAATCACGCGTTACGAGGAAGAACGCGCACTGCAGCAACTGAAGAAGATGACGCATATCGGCACACAAATACAAGCGCCACACAGTGTTGATAGGGGTGCACAAACCACAGCAGCGCCGAAAGTGCCCAAGAGCTCAGTGAGCGTTATGGTGAGTCCAGCAACGAGAGATGCTTATGTCAATTGCCGTGCTGAAATGCGCTCCACAGCTTGTTCAGAGGACAATATACTGGATCCCTTGTGTGAGAAATGTAATATCGTGAAGCGTAGCATCGCCTGCAGCACCGAAGACCCCGGCTTCATTAAAGTAAAATCAGTTTCATTGAAACTACTCGATTCACCTGAGTTTCTACGTAGCAAGACTTTCTCATTAGGCGAACATGATCGACTCGGGCGTATACTGAAGACCACAGGCACGCAATACACGCCAGTCTCCGTGAATAGCGCCGGCTGCCAAACCGCAACCACATACGTACACGCTGTCGGTGTGCAATGCATGCCCGAACAGCGTCATGCCAGCGTACAAAGTGAGATTGCGTGCGACACGCGTTTTACAGACACACGTGATTTAATACGGCTCTGTACAACGCAAACTAGTACCGAAGCGTACATACCGCCACCCGTTGTCATTGAAGAGCCACCTAAAAAGGAAGAAAACCCCGCGCCACCTAAACCAATAACGCGTTCAACTGCCAGCAATACGGATAAGCCACGCACCGTAGATTACGGCATAAATACTTTACCACCTGCGCCCATACGTCATACCGCAGCCAACACAGATTCGGTGCGTAAACGGGACATAGGTTGCGGCGACGTAGTCAAGCCACATATTTCTATTGCCTGCGCCGATAATTACTGTGATTCCTGCAAGGATGCGATTAAAAATTTGGCTAAAGACTTCTCGAAAGTGCTGTCGCCTCAATCGCCGCCATCGCCACGCCTGCGTCCACCCGCACCCGTACGTAGCGCATCCATGGATTCGCGCATACCGCTGCGCAAAAATGTACCACCCAGCCCCAGCCCAGTACGGCGCACTTTTCAGCGGCAGAACACATACACAATAACAACAACGTCGGAAAAACAGTCCACAAAGCCAACACAGAGGTGAGTAACGAAATGTGGTGGGTTTATAGGTTTGCGACTGCGCTAAGCACAAATTTATTCAACACCTAGCCAGTACATACACCTTCTGCTTATAAGCTGTGGTGAATTCGTAGTGTATACTCTTTGTATATAATCTACCACTTCATTACCCTGACCTGCTCCACTAACCTTTTGCTCCACTGCGAGTCAAGTAGCGCTATTTGTATACGGTGGCATTTCAGCAAGCAAATATTTATTTTGATATCTGACTGACGCATGCGCCTGGCAAAGGCTGCTCGCAGAGCTTTAAACAACTGGAGCTGTACTGTGGCACATGCTATGAATTTGCTGAAAGCAATATTTTGATAGAAAATTAGGACTACATGTATATGTAAAGATGCCAACATATTTCTACATCTAAAGAGAGTTTCTCTAACACGTTAGTTCCCAAAGTAGAAAAGCAAACCTCAGATTTCTGCCTTTTTCTACCACTGTAACGTGTTTACGTTTGCTTATGCTGCAATGACCTTCAGCGTAATTTTCTCTCCCAAAAATTTTCCCAGCGCAGCGACTTTAGCCCGTTTCACACGGGAGGCACGCAGTTTGCGGTAGCACGCTACAATAGCAGCACACGGCGGCATACGCGGACACGGTCACGCGTGCTTCTTGTTTGCATTATTTTGCTTTTTCAGCAGCATCCTCAGTTATTGCATTTGGTGTGTGTAAATATTTTATTGCTGTGTTTTTGGCACGAATTCTATTTGGTTTTCATTGTAATCGCGCTAGTCAATTAGAGTTAGTGGAAGTATATTAAAATTGGTTAACTAAATTCCAGGAGCAACGCGGCGGCCCATAAATGTTTTCTGGGCTTAGCAGCTTCACTTGCTATCCGTTGATAGTGAGTGGCTGCTCAGCGCTACTGCTAACGTACGTTGAGTATGCAGCGATGCCGAGACTTACATGGTTTTGGAAAACTGAAAATAATGAAACATTTTCCCCTTTCTTCCTCTTTTCTTAGTTCGTTGCACGAGAAACCGCCATCAGCAGCCCATTTTCTGCCACCGGAATCTGCCAGCGAAACGCAGAGTTTCATAAGCGAGCCAAAATCTACTGCGCCTATCGTCGGTGTCAAGGTTACGCCACCTAAAGCAAACACATCCCTAACTGCCCCTTCCTCAGCCGCAAATTCGCGACGAGCCTCCGATGCCAGTCAAAAGACCGTTGAACCGTTGGAGGATAGCAAAGTGGATGAGACTACACCACTACAACCGAGTCTCGATGGAGTAATTGTGCGCGAGGAGAAACGTGTGAGTGTCAGCTGGTCTCGTGATGCATCACCAGCGCCGCTTAAAGATGGCGCTTCGCCATATCGTTCCTTGGAGAGTTCTTTCAATGAGAAGCTCCGGGAATCCACATTGGAAACAGCAGCGGCAGTGTTAGTTGAGGAGAGTGAAGAAAAGGAGCAAACTGGAATAGAAGTTGATATGTCAAAGGGCGCACGTCGCAAGACAACAATACAGAAATCTAGTCATATCCCAAGAAAGCAAGTCGGTAGCGTTGAAAAGACGGTGAAAACAGAGCATGAGTCGCAGACAGATAAGACCGAAGAGCAGGAACGTCCGCCATCGAAAGCGCTACTGCAAAAACTGGCAATGGTTGAGGCGGAGCCACGACAAAAGTGCGTTGAAGCCTGATCTATTTGCTTAAATAAACATTTTGTTTAACTACTTTTTTCGATTACAGATTCGTTCCGCCTACCGAGATGCTGAATGCTTTGAAGACCATCAATAATTCGCTGTTGAAGAAAATGGACGCGAAGTCTCTATCGGCGGCTAGCTTGAAAGCATCTAAATTGGTGATCCAACAGGAATGGTTCCGGATCTCTAGCACCGAGAAGGCGAATCCACACGAAGTCGAGGACTATTTAGACTGTTTTGAGGAAATGTCGGTATCGCTGTTGGAGTACTGTGTCAATATGGTGGACGCCAATGTGAGTGTACTTCATTTTATGTTGTGCTGAGGTCGAAACTCATTGACTGCTTGTGCTGCTTTTTTACTTCTCAGGGCAACACTGCAATGCATTATGCGGTCTCGCATGGCAATTTTGACGTCGTATCCATACTACTCGATTCAAAGGTTTGCAATGTAAATCAAATGAATAACGCTGGATACACTTGTGTGATGCTCGTCTCATTGGCAAAGCTTAAAAACGCTGCGCATCGCACAGTCGTACAACGACTGTTCCAGATGGCCGATGTCAATATACGAGCCAAAAAGGTAGGTAATGGCCCAGTTAATCTTAAACGCTTGGGACCGAAGTAAAAAACTTTATTTTTATACGCATGCTTTCTCCTCACTCATTTGTCTCAACTAAAATAAAACCAAAAAATATGAATTAAAAAAACATTATTCCCCTCAAAAACACTTTCCCACCTTCCTTCCACATCCACAGCACTGCCAGACCGCATTGATACTGGCTGTTTCCCATGGTAATAAAGAGATGGCGGAGCTGCTGTTGGCCGCCGGTGCAGACATCAACATACAGGACGAGGACGGCAGCACAGCGCTGATGTGTGCTGCCGACAATGGACGCACGGACCTGGTTAAGCATTTGCTGTCACAGCCTGATTGCGATTCGCTTTTAGTGGATGTGGTGCGTGTGCCTTGACTTGTTATTGTCTCCTTCTACAATGTGTCTCTTTTTACAATAACACCTTATATACTTTTTCCACGACAGGATGGCGCTACGGCTTTCAAAATTGCCTGGCAGGCTGGACATCGGGACCTTGGCTTGTTGCTGTACGTGCACGAGCAAATGCTGCGCAGCAAGCAGCCCAATCGCGGCGACGCCACGCGCGTTTCGCTGGAGTTGCCGCGCGGCTCGAAGCCCACTTAATGCGGGCTAAGGAGGCAGCAGTAAATTGTAAAACCCTGGAAAGGTTTTTTTTTTGGAGTAAAGTGATTTAACTAAATCGAAAACGTAAATTTTTAACTAAATTATTTGAAGAACATTGCAAACGATGCCAGCCAAAAAAAAAAAAAAATGGACGAACAAATTAGACAGTTTTTTCTTAAAATTAGTAGTTTTGCTATTAGAGTGGCATTAAACATATATTACTTAAATGAAATAACTTAGTAGTACTTTAAGTTTAGTTTAAAATTCTCGAAGAATTGTGCGAGCTATACTAAAGATTTTATAAAAGCTTTTGAAAAGACAGCAGCATATCAAACGTTAATGCCAATTTTTGACGAGCACTCACTAACATTCCACTCAAGTTTTTGTAGGAAAATTTGCAAAAAGAACAAAATTTTTAAACTAAAGAAACGAATCTGCGAAAACGAAATTAATGCTATGCTAATATTGGAAATGAAAAATTAATAAAACATTTTAATATTGGCACAAAAGAAGAAAGATACGAGAAACACAAAAAATTCACAAAATTATTTAACAATTTTTTTCCAAATTAAATTAATAATTTTTAATTAATTATGCAGCTCTTTATTTATTTACGTTTACACAGGGTATTTCAAAACTAATGCGAGATTTAAATGTGACGCAACTTTAAAATCGCTTCACGCTTTTTACGAAGTTGAAACACTATTCCGAGCATATTTTTTATGATATTTTTATTTTTATTTACTGAAGACACATTTTAACGTGTAACGCTCCATTTGTACTAATCTCAAACTGTCAGCCCTCGAGTTTACCCTTTTTTTAGGGGTTTCAAGATTTTACTACATAAAATGCGACACGAAGTATCGTCAAACAAATCGAAAATGAGTTGTTTATTGCTTACGAATCATTATATCATATTACATACATGCAGCATAAAATTTCCAGCTTCCGCTAACATATATAACCAACAGATAACCAATATATAACCAATACATAACCATTTTATAACCAAAACTCAAATTTTGTTTCAATATGAAAGGTTTCTATGATGACGTTTTCTTTCGGTTGATAACTTAGGATATACTATATGCACATACATAACTGTATATATGGCGGCAAATTAAAATCTTGCGTTAATCCGGGATACCCTTTAATATACGCTATTAAATAAGTTAAAAAGTATACATTTAGTTTCTATAACTGATTTCTTAACGTCTAAGTGAGCCGCGTTAGTTTCTCAAAACTTCAATAAGTATAAAATATTATGCTCATCATTAATTATATTCGTTAGAAAATTACTCAAAATAACTCAAATAATAATAAATAATAGAAACAATTTAACTGCAAATTAATTGTATAGAAAACTTCGCAAAAACAAAACACTTTTTAACAGAGCACATAACAATCGCTATGCATAACGGCACAAGAGTCAATTCGCAACAACAAACATAGGGTTCAAAGTTAAAAACGTAAAACTAAAAGTAGCAACAACTTTTTCTTAAAAATTGAGCACGCATTTGAATATACACAATTATATAAACATATTTATATACATATATATATATATATAGCACATAAGAAATTAAATAATTTAATATAATAATACTTACTTACTTGCAGTTTTTAAAATAAAAAATATAAATAAATGGACGCAAATGTTGATTTGTGGCTGAAAAACAATGTTTTTAAAATAAAAAATTAAAACAATTTATTTGAAAAAATGCAAATAACATTTCCTTTAATATATAAAACACGCGTAAGTATAAAAGTAACGGTTAAAAATATATCATTACCTAAAATGCAAAACAAAGCATCATAAAAAAATATTGAAAATCGCTATCAAATACTATAATAAGCAATCTATAACCATTTTATAACCAATTTGTATATGTCTGACGACCAATATATAACCATTTTATGTATGTATGATAACCAATTTATAACCATTTTATAACCAAAACTCAAATTTTATTTCAGTATGAGTGGTTCCTATTATAACGTTTTTTCTTCGCCTGCAAACTTATGAAAAGTGATGTTACGTTATTTTGCATTTTAGGTGTTTATATTTACAGTGTAAATATACAAATATTATATAATAAAGAGTAAATATATATTATATTACATATACATATGTATATAGTGCTGGAAAAAGCTTTTATTAAAGCTGGGTACTAATTAAGCAACTAAGCGAGCGCATAGGGCCCGTTACTATACGTTTATGTTTAGGTACATAATGTGTTTGGAAAACAAAAAAAAAAAAAGACATTTCAACGAATGAATTTTCTGAGCGCCTCGTATTTCACTTAAAATTTTCACAACCTACTTATATCAAGTCCAAAACAATTACAAGCAACACCAAGCGCCGTGTCCTCAATGTCTGTTTAGCAGCCAACTGTCAGTTAAGTTCTGGTTACTTAACCAAGACTACTGCTTTCGGTAAAGTACCCTTTTTTTATTGACTGCTAAGCAGACTCTGAGAAAACGTCACTACGATCATTATAACCTCGCCAAAAAGCAGTCTCAAAACACTCAAAGTAACTGTGAGTGCGATTAGCACAAAATTTCACACTTCTTCGAACCGCAATTGTAACTCCGCACACCTCGTGCATTATTTATTTCTCTCGCCATCTGTGTATTCATACTCGCGCCGCTCTCTTATGCTTGCGGTAAAGTTTTCCACCTCTACGTTAACACCCTTTGGTATATGATCTGCAAATTTCTCCTCAACTAAACGCTCACACTTGAGCTCCACTTTACCCTTCGGCGCACGTAATAAAATGGTTTGGTCGTACACCAACGGTATGGGTGTGGTTGGTGCCACACTAAAACGATATTTACGTAACATCACTGCCAAACCGATGAGCACTTGCATGCGGCCGAAACGCAAGCCAATACAGTTGCGTGGACCATCGCCGAATGGTAGGAATGTCATCGGGTGTCGCTCCTCCATGGCTTCGGGTGTGAAACGCAACGGATCGAATTTCTCTGGTTCTGGGTAGTAGCGTGGATCGTGTTGTATTGCTTCGGATGGTATGAGTACTGTGGTGTTGGCTTTGATGACAAAGTTTGTGCCAGGTACCTTGTAGTCTTCGTAAGCAACACGCTTCAATGCAGGCGCAATGAGATGTTTACGCAAAGTTTCTGTGACGAAGTGGAAAGATATGATTATTTTGCTATATGAAAAGTTATGTCGGAGTGATTTAATCTTATTGACCGAATGTCGTATTGTAGAGGAGAGGAGAGAAGAATTGCAAAGTTAAACTTAAGTTGGAAAAGTAGTATGTGCGAAAGGATGAGGGATATAACATCTCTGCTTCTCCTAATTGCTACAAAAATGGGAGAGAGTCCATCGCCTTGTTCATCTCGTTCTGGGAAGAAGAGTAACTGTACTTTTTAGCGAAATGAAAAAAATATTCCCAACGACTTTGAGCCAGTAAATTAGTTTGTACTTTAATTGTAAAGCCAAATTTGACTTTCCCGGTTTTTTTATGAGCCCTCCATTTGAAAAGTAAATATTTAATTTAACGAGTAGTGCTAACTAATTTATTTGCCTGTGGCATAATACTTTGCCTGACTAAGCACTTAGCTAAATTACGCTCAAGGTCGCAGCAAAAGCGAAAGCTAAGCTTCTAATTGCCTTTGTTCGTGTGCTTACGAGCTTAAACAGGCTCTAATTTGCGATTCATAACAATAAACATTGCTTGTTGTTACAGGTTTTGCAAGCCGTGAGTTCATACTATTCTTGAAAGTGATGCAATGTGCTATAAAAGCGATTTAAATTTTAAGTCATAATAAATACTAATGACTTTCGTTTGGCCTTTTTATGGCTTTAAAGAAATTAATTGTCTTATTTTCAAAAATTATGCAGTATGAGAGACCTCTTTCCACATGCTCCCATACATCAGTTTGTATTTTTGCACATTTCATCATGCCCTTGCCGGCTTGCAGTTGACGATTCCTTTCAACTGCTTTTCACTTACCTTTGAGCACTTGATCCAAGTAGGTCATTTGGTTGAGACACTCGTAAGTGAGCACATCATTGTGCATCTGCATCACCTGTACAACTTCCTCGCGCACTTGCTCTTGTATATCCTCATTCACCGCCAGTTCCCACAGACAATTTGTCATGGTCGTCGAAGTGGTCTCATAGCCCGCTATGATGAAGACAAATACCTGCGCAGCAATCTCATTCGTTGTGAGTGCTTCGGTTTTAATGAGATCGATCATAATTTGCAAGAAGTCTTGGCGTACTATGCCATGCTCCGCACGGTAGGCTATATTATCGCGCACAACTTTGATGTAGAAGTCTGTCACCACTTTTGGTGTGTTGGTCCAGTGCAACATTTTGGCCAGTTGCGGTAGGCGTTGGCTAATCAAATCACGTGTTACACTATACTCCTCAAAGAACTTGACGGTGATCAGACGAAAGTCCTCAAGTGGATTGTGTAGACTGTCACAATCAATGCCAAGTGTAGAGCTCGCTATCACATCGGTGGTATAGCAGGCTGATAGGTCTTTTACGTCGATTATGCCTGCGTCGGAGAGACGGCGATCCACAACCCCAGGCAACTGTTCGGCCACTTTTATGAGTGTAGGATACATAAATTTCATTTTGCCCGTGGTAAAGGATGGTGTCAATTTGGCACGAAGTCGCTTCCAGTAAGGACCGTCGATTGCAGCTAGATTACCCATAAGCGGATCATCGCGTAGATTGTGGTAGAGCCCGCGATAACTGAAGTTGGCAAAGTCTTTAATCAACACATGTTTGATGAGCTCCAAATCCAGTAGTATGATAAGCGGATCGCTGAGCATGAACATGCCGGCTAAAGGTGCTCCAGATTCGCGGAAGCGTTGATAGACTTCGTTGGGTATGTCGATAGCATGACAATCGGTGCCAATGCGACCACGCCCGTAGAAAAAGAACAAGAATGGTTTAAGCAACGGTATGCCCTGAGCCTCCCAGTATTGTTGTTTGCGGTGCAAATGTATGCAAATAAGCGCCAGGATGATGAACGAGAGCAGCAAAACTGTGAGTGGATCCATCTCGAGGGGCGGTGCTTGTGCAGCTGCGCACAATAGCGTCTACTTTGTATGATTTGTCGTTGGTAGTGTAGGCAGCGGTATTGGACCGCTTCGCTGTGAACTGCTCGACTGACTGACTTTGCACTGACTGCGGCCGCTTGACCAACCTGGTTAGCTGGCAGGTTGACTGACGCGTTGTTGCTTTAGCGTTTTTGTCATATTCAGCGCGACTTGACTTGATTTGGTGCTGCGGAAAACCGCAGATGCCGGTGCGGCTTTGTTGTTACTCCAGTGTTAGCTGAAGAAGAATAATATACGCAGTGACTATGGCGACAATTAACGCATTACACACGTTGCCGCTGATCTGAGAAGGAGTGCAGAAAAAATACCAACGAAAGCACCGAAAAAAATATAGAAGCTGCACGAAAATGCACACGCGCTCTTCTGCGTATACGGCGCAAATGCGGTGACGGCTGAGGGCCGCTAAAATATTGCGGCTATAGCGACGCGGCCGAGTATTGGCGTTGATGAGCGTCCCCTGAAAGTGAAAGCGCTGTTGGCGTGGTCGATAATTATTTCATTACTGTTGTTGTCGGCCAACGCGTCGTTATCGCATCTGAAGCATATTATACCATCCGCACAGATGTATTTGGCTTTTTATTGTCTTACCTTTCTTAAACATTAAAATATATTGTTCACTGGTTGTTGTCTTGTGGCATTGTGTAAGTCTATTTAGCGACTTGGCTTGTGTACATTTGCAAGTAAAATTAACCAGCGCACGAAAACTAATCTAAATAGCTGCAGATCTGCACGCCGCGCCTTCTGCTCGCCGCACTGGCGGGCGCTTTGCGCATTGCGTTCGTGCAGTTTGCTGGAAAAACGGGTCCGCCGGAGCTGGGCCCACGCGCAAACAACTTCGGGGTGTTTTGGAATTCAATTAACAGCTCTAGAAAATGACAAACGTTATGCCAATGGAAACGTCGGCGCTGCGCGTCGACCGCGGCGATGTCGACGGCGCAGGTGCGTACGCAAAAAGCGCAATAACAAAATCTGTAAAAAATTAAGTTATGACGATATCTTTGAAATTATTAAAAAGTTTACAAAGATAGCGACACGCAGGTATGTTGAGCGTAAAAATATACTAATATGAATAACTTATGAACTGATTTACATAGGTGACGCGAATAAAAGTAGAAAAAATAAAGCGCCAGCTCAATATAAGCGGTATACGTGACTATCACGCGCAGTGGATTGGAATCTCGCTCGGGCAATAAATGACTTTCATCAGTACAAAACTCTAAATTGATCGACATTTCAACCGATTTCTCAAAGAGCTCTAAAATCTGTAAAGTTTTGGGAAATAAAAAGTTCAAGAATCCTCAAAGACCCGCTTATTTACTCCATTCCCACGACAGTCAGGTCTAAGTAATTGGAACGGACCCGGATTTTTATCCAACCAAGGTCTGTAAATTCGGCACCATGCTTCGAAATTACTTCAGTAATATTTTCTGACGCTACAAAAACAAAAACAACAACACCTTCTTTATTTATTTCCAACTTCTTAAGCCACCAATCCTACATATGCTGGAAGTATTCGAAGAAATAGGCACTCAAAATTTACTGCAAGTCATTGGATTTCATTATATGAGCCTCTATATACATATTCACACAACAACAGTAACATTTTAACAGTTTAAAATTGTTTCGCGTTGAATTTTAGCACTTTGCTGCTGCGCTGTTGATCTACTAAATTTGCATATTGGCGTTAAATTAGCAACTCATAACAAAATTTTCATGTCAAGCTCGACAAGACAGAGGTCTTGCTTAACGCTTATCGAAACACTCGAATGCCTTTTAACAAAATTTGTCTTATAATTTATTTATATTGTTCATTTATTCGATATTCGGCTCGCGCTTTCATTGTCTATTTGTCAGCGCACTATTTAATTGCTTGCGGACATCAAAGGGCATTCGACGCAATCTGTCACCCGCATCTACGCACAACGGCCATCACTGAACTTTCACCGAGTCCCGCCCTTCACGTCGTTAAACCGTTAAACCGTTAGCTGTGAACGATGTGCGGAAATTGTTTTCGTGTGTGCGTGTTCAGTCATTATAGGGGCTTTTTTGAGTGACGTGCCTCAAGCGGAATCAAAAGTGCGTATATCGCATGATCTGAGCGTTGGCAATCAGTGTCGATGTCGATATACAAAAATTTGACCGTTTCACTTGAACTTCTTTTGTGTATTTTTGATGGAAAATATATAAATGTTGGAGACACCACAATTTTATATAAGTTTTAAAGTCATTCATACTTCTGGCTATAATGTTCGCAAATTCTTTGAGCCGCTTGACATTATGTTCACACGATATTTGCTTAGTTTTTTCGTATATCAAAAAGTGACCGATCAAAAACTCTATGAGAAATTCGTTTGGCACCGACCCGTATTCATATCTTCGTACTTCTAAAAGAGACCGATCAAAAACTCGTATTCATATCGTGGCAAAAGTTTTCACTATCACAATAAAATAACAATATAAAAACTGCATCCACAGATTTCAATTTTATTTAGCTTTTTTTAATAAACTAGCTCAGTTTATTTTGACTTAAGTAGGTCTATTGGTTGACTACTAATGGTTACGAACACTTTGAGAATCAAAGTAGTACTAAATGCCATTATAATGCATCTGTTGCAAAAACGTATTTCTTTGCCGGCGCTTTAGATCTTGTTTAATGTTGTCCCACAGTGTGTAAACACGGAACAAGTTGTGGAAGAAGTCACAGAAAATAATTTGCTCGGGGTTAACACTTTTTTTTTAGCTACACCACAGTGTCGTCGGGAATAGCAAAGCCGAGGAAGCGAGTCGGCTTCCTGATGGCTGCTTGCGTTCAGGCGTTTTAACTTTGAACCTCCTCAGTAAATGCTGTCCCACAACCAGAACCTGTGCGATTGTGAGAGTCTTATGGCTCAGAGTAAGCCGTAAGACATCCTTCGAACTACTGGCTCTTAGCAAAGTCAACCTTGTCGCAATGGTAGGTGTTATGTTTGGACACTATTCAATGGCTTTACGCGCCGTGATGCTAAATATTCTGTCGGACGCTCATTTTGAAAGTTAAATGGAGGCAGGCGAGAGCCGGCTTTTGTCAGACCGAGATGGAAATATCTTGGTAGATGAACCATCTCAATAAATTTGTTGTATGTTAAAAACGCATCGTTGATTTATGAGAACCTGGTGATCATTTTTGCCAAAACTGTAAGAATGAAGGCGAGACCTGGCTTTTGTCAGACCGAGTTTAAAATATTTCGGTAGAACACCTTTGGTGAACATATAACCTAGCAAAGTGGCTGGGATTCATCTATATTTGTAGTAAGCTCAACATGTTTGCTCGATTTATAAGGGTCTGATGATCTTCTTTTAGAAGCGTATGGGTAACACAAACAACAAATATCTGAGCAAGGGAGTTCAAATAATTTTGGATCATGTTTACGATCTAACCTAACATAATACCTTTTTTTAAGTTTTTTGGCTGAGATATTGTAATTATATTTTGATATAGAATATAAAGTTTAAGTATTATGGAAGATCTACTCGTCTGGATAAACATATTTTTTCATGGTTTCGGTCAAAAAACTGGCCGATGCATTAGCTGCTACCAAATTTCTGTCATTAAAAAGTGTCCTAAAAATTCATGAGTCGTTTCATTATCTACTCAGATATTGTGATAAACTGAAGGAAGAGCTGGATCCAGCATTTAACAGCAGTACAAATGGAATTAATTTATATTCTAACATTGAAGAGCAAATTTGAAGGTCCATGGTCTCTCATGCCAAGTTATTCAGAAAGATCCGTAGAATATTTCCCGCAACGCGATTGTGTCCTATATTTTTCTGATTCGTTCCACTGTACTCTGCTATTGCTTGCTGCGGGAAACGTTTCACTGCGTTCATTGGCAGAGTTGCTTGGCTTGTTATGTTACGCTTCGCTGCGGCCGCAGATATCGCTTACCAAGGCTGCATGGGTAGAATTAGTTGGTTGAATTGGAATGAAAGCAGCGCTACCCAGCAGCTGCAATGCTTCAATGAAGTTACTAAAAGGTGCAATTTGCCAATCAACTTTATTACACGCGCCCGTATTATTATTGTAAAGCGATGTATCACCAGTGTAGAGCTTGTTATAGCACAATGTAGAGGATGTCATAAAACAATGTTCGACATATGTATGCTGGCGCTGAGTGTACTGCATATGCGAGTTCACATGTAAAAGTCCAGCAAATAAATTTGGTAATAAAGCATTTAATTCGGTATTTATACAGTTATGCTGATGTAAATGTATATTTTATAGCCGACAATAAAATAAAGTCAATAAAGAGTGAAACTAAAATAGCAGAGTCTTAGTGCTGTTTGAAGGCTTGATGTTGCTGTTGTTGCTGAAGGCTGCCGCTGTCTATTTGGCTTTTAGCTCGAACGCATCAACAGACTAATTGCGGACAGTTGTTATCGGCAACGGAGCGTTTTGGCTTTCTTTCGAGCAAACACAACAGACCAAGCGCACGCTCGCCGTGTTGACCCGCTTGCTGCCGTTTGCGGTGCAGCTTAAGCTGTAGCTCAGGCACTTATCTTGTCCAGCTGTCAGTTGCAATCCAACTGCTGAGCGAAAGAAAGTTGTTGTTTTGCGGTTTCGTGCTTTTCATTGTTGTTGTACATATTTATGTGTGCAATTCTTACGCCATTGAATTCCAGCAAATGTTGCTGGTTGGTTGTGTTGCAGCTCACTGCTTTAACTACGCCGTGCCGTACGCGCTTGTTTGGAGTTTACACTTGCAAATGAGTAGAGTCACCTTGACCAGCTGTGAACCTCACCGTCATCACTTAATTGAAACGTGTACTACAATATTAGCAATATGCACGTAATTTACTTACAATGTTCGGGCTTTGAAAGTGAAATGTGAGACTGTGTGTAATGTTGCTTGGAGAGCAGAATGGGTTTGTGCCCACAATTGCCAACTTAACTAAAAAAAATTGCATAACAGATATTATACAGGGCTTGTCTGAAAAGTAATAAGATTGATTTTTTTCCGCCGGAACATGAGCGCACCGACTGAATTCGGTAAGGAGGGTGAATAGCTAACGAACGAGCGGCGGGTTAGTTACGTCCGAGACGGACAAACATTTGCGCGCGATGTGTTTCTATGGGCCGAAAATTCAGCGTTCGTTCGTGATTAAGACCGTGCTGGGAGACCAGCGACTTCAATAAACACGGACAATGTAACTCCTGGACGAACCGTCAGCGCCAAGTTTTACCGCTTGTATCCCACTTGTACTGCTGGAGTCGCTTGTTCTTTGAAATACTCAGAACTCCTAAGTGTGGTTAAAAAATGCCCATGCATCCAGATAAATTTAATATGGAAGTAGCTTGAGCCAATGCCTTGGCCATGCTGGGGAAAATAAATAGTCAGAAGATTGTCTTAAAAATAATATTATGTCATTTATTTACATTTCTTATTAACATTGTTTTTGTAACTGATATATAAACTGTCTCTACACTTAAAGCTAAGTCAATACTGCTCGGCAGTGGAATGCTCACCGCCTCTAACTAGACTCTCGGATACTGTTGTTCTATACAAACAGTTGTTTAACCTCCTAATTAAAAAATTTCAAATAAAAAAAATCGAAATTAATAACTAAATAACATTGCATCCCTCCTTAAAACTCAAGGTGTGTTATTTCAAGGCCTAAATCGGCACATACATAAATAAATATAATATTTACAATAATGCTCATTTTCTGCAACTAAGGGACCCTGTAAAAACCTAAACTAACCTTATAATGACATGGCATACGGCTAAATGACCACTTCAGCCTCCCTGCCCTCTGGCTCTTCATTGAGCGGGTCCACGCGCAGTCTAATCACATTTTGTGGTTTGACCATTAAACGCGTACGATCCACACTGAAGTGGTAACGGGTGATCAATTGTGCTATCAGCAGGCGCATCACAAGCTGCGCAAAGTGCAGACCAACGCAGCTGCGTGGACCCTCACCGAAGCCTAACCACATGCAGATGTCGCGTCGCTTGTTGTCACCGCGACAGAAGCGTTCCGGTTTGAATATGAACGGCTCGGGGTAGTATTCGGCATCGTTGTGGATGGCGTGTGTCGGCACAATGATGAACATATTTTTGGGTAGCGTATATTTGTTGTTGTTCGGCACGGGGAAGTCGGTGAGTGTGCGTCGTATTAGATAGGGTACGATCGGATGCATGCGTATGGTCTCTGAAAAGTATAGAATATATGAATTTTATTCCCTGTGGATGTATACTGTAGGTAACTCACCTGATATGACTTGACCCAGAAACTTGAGCTCACGTATGCAATTGTACGAGAGCTCATTATTGTGACGCTGCAAAGCTTCTACCACCTCGTCGCGCAACTGCTGCTGTATGGGTTCGTTTAAGGCCAACTCATATAAGACATATGTTATAGTGTGTGTGGTAGGACGTAAGCCGGCTTTGAGAAACGTAATCGCATGCGCCGCCAACTCGTCCATCAAGTGCTCCCGAAGCTCCTTCATTGTTTGATCTTGCACTTCGTGCGTACTCAATTCCTGCTGCATTAAGTTGATCAGCAATTGGAGATAGTCTTTCTTTTCGGTGCCACTCTTTTCGCGCTCCGTGACTACTTCGTTGATGAGCCCAATGAAATAGTCTTCTACTACCTTAGAGGTAGTGCGCAGCTTGAGTTTCTTACTTAAACGCGGGTAGCGGCGTAAAACCGCATTCGCAAACTCACTATGACGTGATGTCGTACTTTCCAGTTGAGTCATATCATCGAAACCATCGAGTGGATATTTTTGCTGGCGTTGCGCATTCAAATCGAATACACACGCTGCCAAACTGGATAACACATAGCGACGCATTTGTGTACGTATTTCAATGTAACCGCTGTGTGCGCGCTCATCTCGCACCAGCTGATCGAAACCATTCAGCCACTCGGCAGACGAATCGCGCAAACCATCGTACAGGTAGCGCATTTCATCTTTGCCAAAGATCGGCTCCAGTCGCAAACGCATCTCTTTCCACTCGTTACCGCGTCGGCTGTACAAATCGGCAGAGAGCGGATCGTCTTTGCTGTTGTGGTAGATGCCGCGATCGTTGAAATTCGAGAAGTTCTTGATTAGTATCTGCATAATCAATTCGCGGTCGAGTATGAGTGCACGCGGCTGCAGGTGACGATAGAAACCGCAAAACGGACTTTGGCCCTTGAAAGTGCGATACAGTGAATCATAGTGCTCCAGCTCCTCCCATTCCAGCGTCGGCCGCAAACCGAGCAAGCGCTGCAGGATTTCAAATTCCGGTGCGGGCGCTTCGAATGGCACCTGATGCCAGCGCCAGTAGTTGCGCTTGTAGCAGATGAGTATGAGTGGCGTAATGACGAAAATGACGAGCACTGCTAGCACAACACCAACTATTAACCAAACCCACCACATTTTCTGTGTTGTTTTGCCAGTTTTATTTGTAAATACGTTGGAGTTTCAGCTGTTCGTTTGCCCTTTTCAAGGCCACATCGGCACGTAGTCACTGGGCAGCAAAACGCACGAGCGAATAACGCGCTAATTTACTTAAAATATATATGTTTTCTGCTATCTTGTTACACACAAGCGCCTCACCCCGACACCGCCGGCACCTATTATTCTCGAGTAGTACTAAAGTGCTAAACACTTCACTGTCGGTAAGTAATTTTCGCTGCCGCTCAACGCGCCTTTCAACCGCTTACTAAGCGTTTCGATTACCTCAGTACTTTAGTTACTCGTACTCCGCATTGCTCTCGCGCCGCGCTTTTCCGACGGAGTCAATTTGGGAGCTTTTTCCGTTCGCCCATGCTCGCCATATACGCTTTATAACATTTTTATTATCGTCACTATCGGTGAGCATTTTTTAATTGCTTTCTTTACGGGTTGCGGCTGGTGTTAGAAGGGGTTCTATTGGGAGTTCGCGTCGGCAGAGGAGGCGGCAATTATTCAAACATTTCGTTACATCACACACTGTGGTATACTGCCGCGCTTACTCACAGTATATTTGGACTGTTCAATACCAAGTGAGTTTCCGCTTTTGGACTTAACAAAAATGCAGTAAACCGTAAACCTTTCAGTGGCGCTGCACTACCGGTCGACAACGGAACGGCGTTTGTACTTCCTCTAATGTTTTTGAGTACACGTGTAAGTATCTGTTTGCGCTAGCAACTTAGCATTCTACGCACCTGTCGCACCGCAATAAATTCTCATAGCGCGCAGCATCCGCGCCAAGGTCACGCTGGCAACAATATGTGCACTAAAGCAGCCAATAACTCTCGCGCCACCGAATGCTTCGAATGCGCTTTGTTTTATTGACATTTTTCTAACAAATGGCATTTATTTGTAAAACTTTTTCGATTACGTTTGTTTGCATCATTCAAGCTGCTCAGCGATAATTTTATTTATTGCCCGCGCTTTGGCGCAGTTCAGAGCGTGTGACTAAGCGGTCGTGGGTGCAGATAGACCGGTACATTGCACGTCAGTCAGCGCCGATATATAAAGTTGTTTCGACTTGTCTGGCGCTCGACGGTTTGTGTGTGGCTGTGTGTGTAATTAGCGGCGTTAACTAGCATGTAGCATACTCTTATTATACATTTATTAGTGAAACGAATATTATTTACTGGGTACCGCTCAGATAATGCTTAGGACTGAGTGGTGTTTGGTAAGTGGAGGAATAAATTCAACTGTGGAGCATATAATAAGCGCTATCTTATCAAAGTTTGAAGCGATAAAAATGAAAGTAAGTCAGCGCACAACTTTGCGATAAAAACCGAAGGGATTAAATTTGTTTCACTTCGGTTTCAGTTGTATTTGGGTCTATAAAGTTAACTTATAAAATTTGGTTTGCATTACTAATCATTTACATTTCATTTGCACCTCCCAACTTGAACCATTCAGGGGAACTAGCAGGAATGGAAATATGTAGAGTAACTTTCTCGACGCGTAAGATCCGACTCACAAATAACAATAAAAAATTGTCTGGCTTTACAAAGCACTTTCACTTGCTCACGTTTTTCAGTTCGCTTAGTGTGATTTCCAACGCCTTAATTAGAATTAGAAACTTACTAACTTCTACCCTTTTCACACTGCCAAATTAATTTAGTACATCCGCATTATATTTGATTAACCAGCTGCGTGATCAACGATAAGCTCGATTAACGAACAGCTGTTAAGCTTGCTTATCTTCTTCATTTTGTAATTTTTCTAATGATTAAAATTTTTCAACAGATTGCTATTTTATCAAAGTACACAAAAAATGTACAGTCTGGACAACAACCACCAGATACAGCATGGACAATAACCTGAAGAGTTGTATTGCTGTTTCAATCCAATTTGAATTCGATACTTAATCGAATTGATTAATGTGGGGAAATACGATTTTTATTTTGTATGGTAAAACGATCTAAATTAGCGCTTTAATTGAGCAAAGGCGGGTTAATTGATGAAATAACTTTTGTGCGAAAAGGCTGTGCCCGTGTTAATGAGATATCCGCGTAATCTCTTTCAAGAAAACAACTCAATAACTTTGCTGTTGCTTCAAGATGCAATTTTCCTGACAAGTGATCAGAGGCGGGCAGAGAAATGGCGAATCGAAAACAGCTATTATATCATACGAATATTTAATGTCTCCCGTAAGTTGTATTGAAATCCCGAAACGTTCCGAACACTGTCGGGATTGCGTTTCTATGCATATAGAAGAACACCTAGAAATGAATTTGTAATCAGTGCCTATGCCAGAGGTATGCATTCTACGATTATTGCACATTTTCATTTGTCGATAATTTTAAAGTGGGATTGAAGAAGTTGGTTAAAAAATGGCGAATGTGATAAAAGTTTTAGATACGAAGTGTGAGCAAATGCCCATGACTAGTCATATTTATTAACAATAACAAAATATTAAGCATCTGTCATCGTTAGGCAAATAAAGGATAAATTTTGAGTTATTTGCATTAAAGCTTATCTTGATCTTGAACAATTCATTGGAAATTTTGATCCATGATTAAGTGAATTACGAATGTCTATTGTTGCGTAAAACGAAATTCAAATGGAAACCCAGCAGACATTGAATCGCTTGATTTCTTGAAATTAGATGCAACAACGGAAGGTACAGCTGTGTGAGCGAAAAAGTTAAAATTCCCGGCGAGTTCATTTGGGTAATAAAACTGAACTGGTTTAACTTACTAGGAGGTAAAATATAAAATTTCGGACGTATAAATTTCTCATTCTACTTAAAGCGCCTGTCGACAAAGCTGGCAAATGCAATGCTGCGAATGTTGCGATCAGACTCCGGGAAGCCGGACACATTAAGGGTCTCAGAGTGGAATATCCCGAAATCTTCTCGCACTTCGATTGCATATCTGATAACTTAGATCACTTATTTTTAGCGAAATCTTTTTTGCGCATAGACCTCCGAGAGATATCTGGGTGGGGCGGAGTCGCTGAACAAGAGGCGCAGTGAACTTTTTCATAGATGGATTGAAGTTTATGGGGATCATCTGTCTGGACCTCTCAATCAGCTCTTGCTTCACACTGCCAGGCCATTGTAGTATCTTTTAAGCGGAAGTGGCAGCTATTAAGGTAGAAGCAGACGCATATGCTGCAATGAATTGCGGCTGCCTTTGGGAAGGTACGCCTTCATTGCGCTACCAGATCTGCTATACTCGTACAGGTCATGAGCTCGCTGACAGTGAGCTCAAAGCTAGTCAAGTAGTGCAGGAACTCATTAGCTGTGGTAACAAGTTTTTTTCCATATTAAACTTGTATGGTTGTTTGGTCATAGCAGAATCATTGAAAACTTCAAATTAGAAATTAGAAAGGGCGTTCTTACAAAAATTCCATAAGGATGAGAAAGAGAATCTGTTGTGGTTTACGTGAGTACCTGCCTGCGAAGGCCTAACCTCACGGTGCTTTCTATTGCCAGACGCACGTAGATCAATACAATGCGTTGATCAGCGCCCCAAAGCTTAAATGCATTTTTCACTTAAATCTTGGTTCCAATTGGTTCGAGTGGATAGGGACACCCTAGTCACCTTGGTCGGGTTCGAGGCCGATCTAAAACCTCTGCCGTACTTTGGTTCCGGCCCCGGCCGCAGTGCGACTCCACATTGGACAAACTGCGCTGCCTGCATTTAGGTTTAAACCACAGCCACCACGAATCTGAACAAAGGGCCAAACCCAATGTGGCAGATTGGAGTTACCTCCAAGGACTAACTGCTCCCCGTGGTACCAGGTTATAGTCTTTGGTCTGACTCTGTAGCTTTTGCTACTACCGGTTGAGTCTCCAAACATTCAATGACTGGTTGCATTTGTCGCTGTGACATTTTATGATATAAATATAAAGCTTAGAATTTGACTTCCAGCTGAATATTATAGAACTTTTCTGAATTAGACCATGTTGACATTAAAACAAGACCTGTGCTGTCAGACAGAGTGCATATGGCTTTTAGTCGCCTCTTACGACAGGCATGCCTTATCACGTGTATATTCGCATCTCCCTCGAACCCAGAGTGGGCCCCCCTACTCTCACGGAAAAGAAAGAATAGGAGAATGCAACTAACTCCTTCGCTATCCAGTTTTCGCCGGGCCAAGGCTAAAGCAACTTGGTTTCCAATCTTTCAAAGAACCCGGTGAATTGGCTGGGGCAGACATTAACCAGCTCAATATACTTGTGGCTGGCTTTAGGTACTTTATGGATATACGCGGTCTCTGTGATCCATACTTAGGAGTTACGGGCATTATAACGGCGGATAAGCGTAAGTAGCAGTTCAAGTGGTATTATTCATGACCTCATGCATACCAGCATATTTACCTAACATAATCTTATGTTATGTATACGGACGGAATTCACCCTTTTTAGCTAGCAGTTGTTGCAGTCAACGGCTTTTAATGGTGCGTGGCAAGTAGTTAATTATGATGGATTCTAATTGATCGTTCTGAGTGTAGTTAAATTAGATATCGTTTTGTGATTTACATTTACAGCGAATCCAAAGAAAGGTGTTATTATTTACTGCTGCAAAGCTTAACATTTATAATCAATTATGTCACACATATATCCATATAAATATATAATAAATTTTTCGTATACACGCTCGTACAGTGATAAGGCATAAGTTCCAGTGCGTGAAAAGTCAAACAAAGCAATTCGGCCGGTTTTTGTAGTGCATTACCGACATACATACATGTACTATATACAAGTATACACATTCATGCGGCATTTCATGGAAACATAGAATGACCATATACATACATGTGTATACATAAATGATATATATAATATATATATAGTGTGTATGTCTATTTTTTCTCGTAATTGTTTCGAAACTGGCTGCTATCCGCGCAAAACCACGAGCGCCATGGGGAATGTGGGAAACATGCGACTATTTATTTAGTGAATAAGAAAAATAAAAAGAAGAAATTTATAGATTTGATATCAATTCAAATAATTATATTATGGCAAACTGAATGCGGAGAATACTTTTAAGTAAGGTATATGCCAGCAGAATTAAGAGGAAACTTTTGATTAAAACAATGGCCTAATAACGGTTGAGTGGTAGAACGATGTTATATACTCAGGTGTAACTCTAAGAAAACAGAGCTTAAATGAGACTAAGGAACAGTGCAAGCCTACAAATCTCTGCTTCAAATAACAGAATTCTTTTGAACTTGAGTTTATGCAGAGAGCATCAAAGCGCCTTCTCGCTAGCGATAATATATGACAGTTCAGAGCATAAAACTACACTCAGTATACTCACCATGCGTAATGTGTTTGCTGGGTTATTGCGAATTCTTTTGCAAATACTCGGACTTGCCATTGCACAATTTCCTTATCTACAGTAGGATATAATTTTCTGTATGCCGACAGCCTATTTATGTTTATAAATATAATAACTTAACCGATTATTCATTGTCAGTTGTATAGAGTATAAAGACCGCATCGCATCGCCGACGTTATCAATTCGCAATTTATGGTTTGCGTTTCGCAGAATTTTCAATTCCGTCGTGCTGTGCGCTTGCACTTAGCTCTCTTAGTTATTGTTCTTACTAAATAAGTTTTCACTCGTAAAAGGCTTTGCTATTGAACAGTTGCTCGTTAGCCGGTGAACTGAAAGAATGTCTGCGTTTGCAATTTTAATAGCCGTGCTGTTGGCGTTGCTCTCTTTTATTTACTATTTGCTGCAACGGCGCATGAATTATTGGCGCTACCGAGGCATACCGCACGATGCGCCACACTTTTTCGCCGGCAACTTGAAGGGCTTGATGAAAACGCGCAGTTTCGCCGAAATTCTGCGTGAAATATACACACATCATCGCGGTTCGGGTCCTTTCTGCGGCTATTATTTGTTTCAACGCCCCGCGGTTTTGGTGTTGGATCGAGCGCTCATCAAAAACATACTCATCAAGGATTTCAGTAATTTTGCCGATCGCGGCATCTTCCACAACGAAAAGGATGACCCGCTCACCGGCCATCTCTTTCGTTTGGATGGCAAACAATGGCGCGGATTGCGTACTAAGCTGACACCGACATTCACTTCGGGCAAAATGAAATTCATGTTTCCCACCATATTGAAGGTGGCCGATCAGCTGATGGTCGCCGTTGAGAAGCGCTTGGCCAGCGACGAGCATGTGTGGGACTGGAAGGAGATGATGGCATGTTTCACCACCGATGTGATTGGCAACTGCGCTTTTGGCATAGAATGCAATAGCCTGCAGGACCCCAATGCGGAGTTTCGTGTTATGGGGCGCAAACTAATTGGGTCGCGTCGGCATGGACCAATCGTTAACGCCTTCATTAATAGCTTTCCGGATATGGCGCGCCGTCTACGTATGGCTATAATGCCGCAGGAGATTACAGACTTCTTTTTGCGCGTCGTGCGCGAGAATATCGAATATCGTGAGCGCAACGGTGTGCACGGCAATGACTTTATGAGTATTTTGATGGAACTCAATAAGGGCAAGCACTTGAAGAGCGAAAACGATCAGTTGCGTCCGTTGAGTGTGAGCGAGATGACGGCACAGGCATTTGTGTTTTTCGTTGCCGGCTTTGAGACTTCGTCCACAACATTAGCATTCGCGCTGTACGAATTGGCATTACAAACCGATTTACAGGAGCGTCTGCGTAAAGAGATCGAGGAGACTATACAGCGGCATAACGATGAGTTCACCTATGAGTGCATGGAAGACATGCAGTATATGAAACAGGTGCTCTCGGGTGAGTAGGCAATGCGTACTTGTGTGTTTCTTTTTGTGTATAAATTTACATTGTATCTCTCCGTCATAAAAGAGACTCAGCGAAAATATCCGATTGCACCGAATTTGATGCGCCAAGCGGCTGCTGATTACGTGGTGCCCGGTCATCCCAAATATGTGATCAAGAAGGGCATGATGGTCACTATACCCACCATTGGCATACACTACGACCCGGAGATATATCCGGAACCCGAGAAATTCGATCCGGAACGTTTCTCAGTAGAGGCGGTGAAGTTACGCGACTCCGTCGATTGGCTGCCCTTCGGCGACGGTCCGCGCAATTGTATTGGCATGCGCTTTGGCCAAATGCAGATGCGCGTCGGCTTAACTTATTTGCTGCGTCGGTATAGGTTCACACCTTGCGCCCAGACGCAAATTCCGATGGAGTTCCAGAAGACTTTCCCCTTGTTTCCGCAAGACGGCATACATCTGAAGGTTCAGCCAATATAAACACGCACGTAATGCACTGACATACTATTCATATGTACATACATATTTATATTTAAGTCCACATGAGTACTTAAGCCATTGTATATGTATATGAACATGCATATATACACATATTTTTATATACATACTTACATATATTTACTTTCATACTCGTACAACTGTTGTAACGGCGCTTATTCGCTTACGCTTGTTAAGTAACGGTAAAATTTCCAACTTTGTCAATTCAATTCTCATTTCGACTAGTCAAAACATCAGCTGATCGAAAAGTATGCCATAAGTGGTTGTTTGAAATAAATTTGGATCTCGATTTTTCGAAAAATCAAGGTGAAAGAAAAATTAACGCCGGTTTATTGACTTGGCGCTCGGGGAACACGCTAGTGTTTGCTAAGTGCTACATGCCATACTAATTATATGCTAATTGATGTTTTCGTGTAATAGTTTTTGTTTTTGTTTGTGTGTTATAAACAATGAAATTGCGTTCTCTGCTTTTTTCGTCGCTGGTCAAACGAGGTGGGTCCATCTGGCTTGTTTGTAATTTAAAAGTCTAATTTGCGTTTGCACATACAGGGTGAGTAGATGTTGTGTAGAAACGTTTCACTTATTTTGGCTTTTATTACTTCTTCTTTACTGGCGTAGACACCGCTTATGCTCTTATAGCGAAGCCAGGTTTCCGCCTGGTCTTTCCAACGGAGTGGAGGCCCTCCTCTTGCAGAGCTGGAGTGTTTTCGTTCATTCGGACGACATGATCTAGCCAGCGTGGCCGCTGTATTTTGATGCGCTTAACTATGTCAATATCGTCTCATAGAGCTCATCGTTACATCGAATGCGATCGTCGCGGCCAACACGAAAAGGACCATATATCTTCCGCAGAACCTTTCTCTCGAAAACTCGTAACGTCGACCCATCAGTTGTTGTCATTCTCCATGCCCCTGCACCATATACTTATAGAGTTTTGTTTTTGTTTGTCGAAAGAGGTCTTTACTTCTCAATTGCCTACTCAGTCCAACAATAACACTTGTTGGCAAGAGATATTCTGCGTTGGATTTCGAGGCTGACGTTGTTTTTGGTTATGGCTGTCAGCAGTGATGTGGGGGTCTAGTCACGAGTGCGACGACTCTTTGTTCGACGACAGGATATATTTCTCCTTGTCTGAGAACTCGTTTGGTATCGAACGGCTCGAGGTTCCTTCCCGAGTTTTTGGTGTTGCTCAACATCAGTTTATACAGCCGTATTAGTTTTGCGGGGATACCAAAATCAGACACAACTCTGGTGAACTTAACCTCGTTATTCCGATACAACGGCGATATTTTTTCTTTCTCTGGTATCATATTAAATATTTACTGAGCTGTAGAGCCTCCATTCATACGTTTAAGTCCAGAAGCGCTTATCCATTCATTATTCACAGAACATTATCTTTCGAACCTTCAAGCGCGGACTCATAGTCTACGTTGCCTAGATAGATAATGTTTTGAGAAGAGCCCTCAAAAATTAAACCACAAATCCTTCAACTCAAAGCTAGTTCAAAACTAAGATTTTTCCTAAAAGTAAGTTCAACTGTACTTAAAACGTTTAGAGCGTTCGTAAAATATACATATCCACATACACATATGAACATTTGTACATCTAAGCGATCGTGGCTGCTATATATGAATTATCGCTTGTTTATTTATATATATATATATACTTATATGTAATACTCATTTATAAAACAAGCCGACTATCTCCGATCTTTGTTTAAATGCGAGGCGCGTTTGAATCATCCGCCGCTGGCGCCACCGCGCTGCCGATCAAGCTGCTGTATTAAACAAGTTTTGAGTCCGCAATTTCATCACAGAGCGTTGATTAGCCGTCAGATCACAAATCAGTAAGTACGTCGTTATTTGTGAATATTTGCGAATAGTTTGTGCTATATCACAAATAAAATTTTGTTTTTGTACAAATAAGCTCATTTACATTGAATCAATTATAAATATGTCAACAATCAGAGGCAAGCTTTGAAGTTGTGGGCCTAATAAATAGTTTCGGCTGTCCGACATTTTCTACTCGAACGAATTTAGCCGATAGCTGAGGGTCTTTTGAACTATAGGAAGTTGTTTTTGGTATCACAAAACAAAAGAGTCTTAAGTCCAAATGGGATTCCTGTAATCTCCGTTAAGGCAATACCCCCAAAAACCTAAGTCAACCTAATTAGAAACTCACTATACTCCTCCAAAAGTTAAAAGATATGTATGAGCAAAGGTGAACTTTTCCGTTTATTTTCAGTAGCCTTAACTATTGCGCGACATTGTCCCAAACACCACTGTTCCATCTATTCTCCTACCCAAATGATCCACCCCTGCGCTTTAATCATAATAATAATAATAATAGCGAAAATGTTTACCCACAGGAATCTCATATATCTTACGCCAAGGTCTGTCTCTTATACAYATCTAGATGTGTATAAGAGACAGGTCCCAAACACCACTGTTCCATCTATTCTCCTACCCAAATGATCCACCCCTGCGCTTTAATCATAATAATAATAATAATAGCGAAAATGTTTACCCACAGGAATCTCATATATCTTACGCCAAGGTTGTTCGCCAAGTTATAACTCTCTAAGATATTCCGCGATCGTCTGTGAGTCAATCTTTAATGATATAATGTAAGTACACTACATTTTTATTTCTTATAGTGCGTCGGGCTGCGAACCCTCATCAGTCGACAGTCGCACAAAGTCACTCGACTTCTGCGACTGCCATTATCTATTTAAGAACCTAATCAAAATGATAGACAGCTGTCGCACACCAGCCACGAGCGTACTCGTGTTTGTTTACTTCGGCGCCCGGCTTCTTCTTGACGCTATAAAAGCATGCTACGCGACTCGATGCGCAGTTAGTGCTCAAGCTCAGCTTATAATGTATACATCTAATTTAAGTTACATACTCACTTGGAAGATGGTTATATTTACTTTGTTCGTTCTGAATTTCACAATAAGTCTGACGCTTGTGCTTTTTGCCAGCGTTGTGGCTTTGCTTACGGCGATGACCTACTTATTCTGGCGTCGCATGAATTACTGGCAGGAACATGGCATACCACACGACAAGCCCAGCTATTTGTATGGTAGTTTTCGTGGTTTGACCAAGCTATATGGCTTCTCGGAGATCATACGTTCAATGTACCAGCGTTATAAGCACACTGGTCCTTTCTGCGGCTATTATTTTTTTCAACGCCCCGCTGTGATGGTATTGGACACAGAGCTTGTGAAAAATATTCTAATTAAGGACTTCTCAAACTTCAGTGATCGTGGTTTATTCCATAATGAGAAAGACGATCCCTTAACGGGTCATCTGTTTTTCGTCGATGGCAAAAAATGGCATGTGTTGCATGGTAAACTCTCATCGACGTTTACCGAGCGCAAAGTGCGTGGCATGTTTCCGTGTGTGCGCGATATCGCACAGCAAATGATCAGCACACTTGATCAGCTGATTGAGCGCAACCAAAATGTTGAAGTCAAAGAGCTGATGGGTCGTTACACCACCGATGTGATTGGCAAATGTGCTTTGGGCATTGAATGCAATAGTCTGGCGAATCCAAATGCTGAGTGTCGTGCAATTGGGCGACGCATCTTCACCGACCGGCGTCATGGTCTCTTAGTGTCTGGCCTTATACAAGGGTTCCCGCAATTGGCGCAAAAGCTGCATATGGCTACAATACATCCGGACATAGAGAAGTTCTTCATGCGTTTGGTGCGCGAGAATGTGGAATATCGTGAGAAGTACAATGTGCATGGTAATGACTTCATGGAATTACTGATGGAGCTGAATAAGGGCGGTAAATTAAGGTATGATAAAAATGATGAATTTAAGGGTCTGACTGTGGAGGAGATGACAGCGCAAGCGTTTTTCTTCTTTGCTGCAGGTTCCGAAAAGTCATCATCGACGCTCTCCTTTACTCTGTATGAGCTGGCTATGCAACCCGAGCTGCAGGACCGCCTGCGTTGCGAAATCAATGAGACGCTGTGTCAACACGACAACGAATTGTGCTTTGAGTCCCTAAACGAGATGGCATATATGAAGCAGGTGATAGCAGGTATGTACTTGCTAATAGGGTTTGCTATTAAATATGAGATTGTGTACATTTCACAGAAACTTTACGTAAGTACCCGATATTACCACATCTGGCGCGTCAAGCTTTGCACGATTATGTCGTACCCGGCCATCCAAAGTACGTTATACCGGCTGGCACATTAGTCACTATACCCGTGGTTGGCATACATTATGATCCCGACATATATCCCGATCCAGAAAGATTCGATCCAGAGCGCTTCACACCGGAGCTGGTAAAAGCTCGTAACAAGGTTGAGTGGTTACCCTTTGGCGATGGGCCGCGCAAATGTATTGGCTTTCGCTTCGGTCATATGGAAATTCGCGTCGCTCTGACATTTTTGCTGCAAAAGTATCGTTTCTCACTGAGCGCACAAACCGTTATGCCGGTAGAGGTTAGCAAATCTTTTTCCATTATACCCAGAAACGGCATCTTTTTGAAAGTGGAACGCATTTAGTGCGATATGTTAGTTTTGTGTGCTGTTTTATAGTTGTTAGCATTTAAGTTTACAAAAACGTCTTTGGAAAAGTAGTTTTATATTTTTCTTAAAAAACGTTTTTTGACCAAAATAAGTTTATTTATCATGAACTTAAGTACATCTTCCTAATACCTGTACGAGGTAATTATAATTGTGTATTATATACACCTTTGCAAATTTACAGTCTGTGTACGAAAAATAAGTACAAAATATTAACGGTAAATGTGATACTATTGCTTAAAAATTGTTGAAAACTTTGAGTAATTTATTTAATTTAACTTCTCCTGACTTTTATTAAATCCGCGACTGCCAGTGTGTTTGTGGTTTCTTAAGACTTTGAGGTTTTCTTCAATCTCTTAGCCACAAATTCGTATTTGGATTTGGATTTTAATGAAGTTTGTTGTTAAATATAAACTTTTTGGTTGATCAACACCATATTTTATTCATGAGAGATTTTATTTTTTATTGTTATTRTTTATGAAAAAATAAATAAAGTATGTGAGATTTTTACCAAAAATTATATTCTTCTTCTTCTTGTTGTTTTGCGCTTTATGCTTTATTAAAAGTGTTACAGTGATCGGATTTAATTCAAATATGCGCCGTTTCCTTCGATAATCTGTTTCCATCTAGACATCATGATCGAAGAACTCGGACAGCCATTTTTTACAAGCCTCTTCTGAGTTCAACCTTTACTGGAATAGGTGGTAATCACTTGGCGCTATATCCGGGCTATATGGGGGATGCGATAAAACCTCCCATCCAAGCTCCCATAGCTTCTGACGAGTCATCGACGTAGTATGTGGTGTGGCGTTGTCCTGATGGAACACTGCACCCTCACTGTTGGCCAGTTTTGGACGCTTCTGGTCAATCGCCTACTTCAAGTGGTCCAGTTGTTCGCAGTAGATGGTAGAATTATGCGTCTGACCATATGTGAGTAGCTCATAGTGGATGATTCCCTTCCAATCCCACCAAACAAACAGAAAAGCGTTCCTGACCGTCAATCCCGGCTGAGCCACTGTTTGGAACGATTCACCGGCCTTCGACCACGGCCATTTTCGCCTAATATTGTCGTAAGTGATCCATTTTTTGTAGCTAGTCACCATCTGCTTCAAAAAAGGGGCGAGTTCGTTCCGTTTCAGCAGCATATCACAGGCCTTGATTCGGTCCAGAAGGTTTTTTGCGTCAAATAATGCGACATCAAGCCCTTTTGCATATCCAGCCTTCTGCAGGTGATGAAAATGCACTACTTATGCATTACCGTTAACGATCTCGCATTGCTCCATTTTTAACCCTTTTGAGTTGCAGAAGAGTGCGATAAAAATATGTTTACCTAACTGTATAGATAATAGACAGAAAATGACTTGCAAATTTTTGTTTATGCTGTGCTCTCTGTTCTGTATCTGTGATAAATACGAAATACTCAAATTAAATGAAAGTTAGTCAGTGGATACAACTTATACAGACGAGAATGTAGATAATAGTGTTTGTATTAGTTGTCTTCTTTAGTATAAATATTGAACTTACGAGTAACTACCATCAGTTGGCGCTAAACACTGAGCTTGTTTAGTCAAATTTTTATATCGAATGGTGAGATAGACTACGACGAAAGTGTGGAACGGAAAATGGCAGTGACAGAAGTCTTGTTGAGCATTATTTTGGCGGTCGTTGCCGCGGTCATTTATATAGCGCATCGTAACTTAACATATTGGCAACGGAAAGGCATCCCGCACGATTCACCTCATTGGATTCATGGCAATCTAAATGGTGTTGCAAAAACTTTGACTGTGGCCGAAGCCTTTACTAAAGTATACAGACGGCATTTGGGGTCGGGCCCCTTTTGCGGTCTTTACTTTCTTCAAATGCCGTCGGTTCTTGTTCTAACGCCGGAGTTGACCAAACAAGTGTTAATTAAAGACTTTAACAACTTCAGCGAACGTGGCATGTATGTCAACGAGAAAGATGATCCCCTCACTGGGCATTTGTTTTTGTTACAAAGTCAGAAATGGCGCGTAATGCGCAATAAACTTACACCCACCTTTACGTCTGGTCAAATGAAGTTCATGTTTCCTACTGTGGTTTCGGTGGCTGAGCAATTCGTTGAAACCTTAAATGGCGACATCAAGAAGAGTAACGTAATTGAGATCAAGGATATTTTAGCACGTTTCACCACTGATGTAATCGGATCTTGTGCTTTTGGCATAGAGTGTAACAGTCTCAAGAACCCTGATGCTATTTTTCGTCAAATGGGCCGCCGTTTTTTTAGCGATCGTCGTCATTCGAATTTCGTTAATAGTATGATAACGGCCGCTCCGAATGTGGCACGAAAACTTCATGTTCGTATGATAACGGACTCGATAAGTGACTTCTTCTTGAAAATTGTACGCGAAGCAGTTGATTATAGAGAGAAAAAGAATGTGCAGCGTAATGATTTTTTGAACATTCTGATGGAGCTAAACAAAGGAAAATTAAAGTTCGGCGATAAAGTCGAGGAAAAAGGACTTACGTTGGAAGAGATGACGGCACAAGTATTTGTCTTTTTTGTAGCTGGCTTCGAGACATCATCTTCGACTCTTACATTTTTACTCTATGAGTTGGCCCTAAATCCAGATATTCAAAAGCGCCTACGCGAAGAAATACTAGAGGCGGTTGAAAATCATGGCGGTGAGGTGACTTATGAATGTGTAAATTCGATTGCTTATATGAAACAGGTCGTATCAGGTGAGTAAGACAAAAACGAATTCCAACTCATCATAATTATACAAAATATACTTTCTTCTATTGCCTTAGAAACACTCCGGAAATATCCAATAGTACCACATTTGCAGCGTAAGGCTATGGCCGATTATGTTGTGCCTGGACATCCAAACTATGTGATAGAAAAAGATACAACTGTATTCATACCAGTAATGGCAATGCATCATAATCCCGAAATTTACCCGGATCCGGAAAAATTCGACCCGGAACGTTTTACACCGGAGGCAATGAAAACACGAGACTCCATCAATTGGCTGCCCTTCGGCGATGGACCACGTAATTGTATCGGCTTGCGTTTTGGTCAAATGCAGATACGCGTCGCTCTGACATACTTATTACGTAACTTTGAATTTAGCACCTGTTCGGAGACTGAGATGCCTTTGGTATTCGATCCCAAACAGTTTTTAACCGCTACTAAAAGCGGCATCTCTCTGAAAGTACAGTCGATTTAAGGCGTATTTCTCTTCAGTTTATATGATTAAAGGAAAACTTTCATTAAACCTTTAAATTAAATATTAATTGCATTAATATTGTGATATCTTTATATGATGTTATGTGTATTAAAAGAAAGTTTACGCATCTCTTCTGATAAAAATATTAGGAAGTATCAAGCTATCAGCATTGTTTTTTTTTCTTTCTATGCTCTTTCTTTATATTAGCGAACTGTGAGAGACAGAAAGCGCCATGTGCACTTAACATGCTCAACATAAGCTTTTCTTTCGAAGGTGGAGTGCTCATATCTTAAGCGTTCGTTTGTACATTCGCGGATATAGCGCTATCCACGTATAGTATGTTCGAAGGTACGGGACCATTTTGTGGTTTCTAGTGGTTTCATCGTCCTGCAGTTTTTGTACTGGAAAGCAGCCTAGCTAAAGCTATACTTGTTAAGGAATCCAATAAGTTCACAGAGCACGGCTTTTATACGAATCCAGCTGATGTTTCGCTCTGTTTTGCATCTCTTTTCGTTAAACGGTAATAAAGAACTTCAAACTAAATATTAGCGAAAAAACACAGTGCTTCATTAAATAAAGCAAAGAATTTTCTGTGTAGATGGCTGGCTGCTTGAGCAAATCGAGGTGGTGATCTTTGGAAATTCATATGTTTGTATATTACGCTTCATGCTATATGCTATTTAAAATTGGACTGCAATATTTCAAAAGCTTTGAGAACTGTTTACTGGTGTTTACATTTGAAATGTGGTTCTCTGTTGCTGAGCGGTGGGCGTTTAATTGTTCTCTCCTCATTCACTAATAGTAATATTTTCATTATGAAAAATTGCATGCTTTTTGAACCTCCATAGCCGTGAGCGGTAATCACATGCATAGTTTTGTTTGTGCCAGTATAAGCTCTATAATTATCAGCAACGATTGCTTAATAATGATACGTTAGTAATAATGGTTAATTTCTGACAAAAAATAATATCAAATTTTTTACTCTTTAGCTTTACGTTATTTGGAGAGCAGGCAGCTAGATTGTTAATTGTTGAGAGCATGCAAGTAAAAATTCGAGAGAATACAATTTAACGCTGCAGTTAGACGATCAAGAATTTGCTTTGAAGTTGATCACGCAAACTACTTGCTAAAATTGATTTGACTCCACAGCCGTGACGTAAGCTGCAAGCAATTTGATAAGCAATGATAGTTTCAAGTTGCCGTCGTCATGGAAACGAGTGAAATTAATAACTTAATGGATGTATCTATTTATATTTGGATATCAGCCCATGATTATGACGAAATATTATGTGATCAGCTGTTTTAGCTTGATCGTCAACTTGTTCCAGGACTGGAGTGGAAAAAGTGGAATAAAGACGTCGTTGAAGAGGTTATGAAAGGTTTTATTTGAGTGTTTCTAAGCATTCGAATGTGAACCTTTCTGAAAATATACTTCCGATATATCCATTTAATAAAGTTTTCAATGTATTATTTACTTATGAATGGTTTTTACTATACTACCTTCTAAGTTGGTTCAAACGGGACGCAACTAAATTTTACTAAAATCGGTTCAGTAGTTTAGGAGTCCTTCCCGCACAAACAACGTGACACGTAATTTTTATACTCTCGCAACAAAGTTGCTAAGGAGAGTATTATA